ACATTTTCAGGGCCCACCATATTTTCTGATTTTTTAAAAAAGACACTAGTACTGATTTTTATATTGTGTTTTTATATTGTTGTAACCCATTCTGGGAACTTATGGTGAAGGGTATGTAGGAAATCCAATAAATAATAATATTAAATAATAAGAATCCATGAAAATAATGGAAGTATGCCAGCATTGATTTGTAAATGAATGAATGAATTTATATACCGCCTTCCGGGGGGGGGGGACAAACAAAAACAAAACACAGCAGGTGATGTACAGCATCATAAAAAGCCTTTGAAAGCATTACAGTACTGAGCAAGCATGAAAATAACTGGAAAATAAAATGACTTTATTTTCAGTAAAACGTGTAAGCCCTGGAGCACACTACATTTTATTATGTGACTGGAGGACCAGAGAGCTATTTCATGTCAATGAGCTGATGCCCTTCTTACCCACTTGAGGATAGGAATATATGAATCTGCCTTACACAGAGCCAAACCATTGGTCCATGTAGCTCAGCATCACTTAAACTGAGTGGCAGTGGCTCTCCAGGGGTTCAGGGAAGGGTCTTTGCCAGCCCTACCTGGTGATACCGGGGGTTATACTTGGGACATTCTGCCTTCAAAGCAGATGCTCTACAATTGAGCTCTTCCCATAAGGTTATTTGCTAGGTCCCAGTTCTGTATTCCTACATAACCACCCTGAATAATAAATGGAATTTTATATTCCCCTTCGCCCTCAGTTTTAGGGAGGCTCTTATGCCAAAGAGAAACTCTCTTTCAAGAAAAACAGCACTCTCTTTGGACAAAATGGAGTTTCCATACAGCGCTTTAATGGGTGTGACCGCAGGCCACGTTTAGGAGCCCCAAAGCTTAATTTGAGGTGCATATAGCATTCAGTTCCTTATTCAGATTGCTCATGCAGCTGTGCTTTGAACTTTTTAATAAGAAATTGGAAATTAGCAACCAACTCCAGCTTCCTCTATCCTGCTGACATCCAAGTTCGGGGGGGTTACCAACAGGGCTGGACTTAGTGCCCCCAAATGGATCGTCTCAATTATGGAGCTTCTCAATTTTGCACCCCCCTTGGCTCAGTGCCCTGGGGGAGGAGAACCACCCACACCACCCTAAATCCAACATGGGTTACCTAGTTAGATTGAGAAGACGGTGTGCCACTAAGGGCACTATCACACAGAAAGCTTGTCTTGTGCTATTTGTGCATATGAATCTGATTCACGGAATCAAGAAATGGCCATTCCTTCTAGTCAATTCAGAGCCTTTCAATTTAGTGTTTTTATTTTCAGTCAGTAAATATATTCAAAGTCCATTAAAACTGGAGCAAATGTTTTATCATGTCCCTGGAAACGCTTTCTAAAAACTACCTGGTTCACACATAACCCTAAACCAAACACTAAGCTTTGGTGGGAATATGGGAGTGTGTGGCCTCCAGATCATGGCACCATCTCTGGTCCTGCTGCTGCAAGCTAAGCCATAGTCTGGTTCGGCTTAGCATGTCATCCGAACCCGACCTTGTGGTTTGGCTTGCTCCAGTCAAGTTACAAGCTGTAACCAAGGTTTGCAGCTTGTGTTTGCTTTTTTAGGAGAGGGCACTAAGTGGCCACACTCTCCAGGAATGTGGAGCAACATAGGCCAAAGGTTGACTTAGCATGATGTGTGAAACAACCAACCACACCTCCAGTTCTACTAAGCTCTTAGGCTCTGCCCAAATCATAGGTTTCTGTTTTGTTCTCTGGCTTATTCTGAACTGGAAGTGTGGCAACCAGTACCCTAAAGGAAAAAGTACAGCATTGTCTGCTACTTTAAGCAACACTTGGCTACACCTGGGCAGCGCCATCTCTGCTAGCCCTGTTGATGTGGGATAGCATCCTTGGAATCTCTAGCTGTTGTGAACAACCAACCCCACAGCGATACAGAAATTGCTTCATCATGTTGCTGTTCAGAGTTGTTGTATCTTAAAACAGTTGAACAGATAGCAATTTCACAAAGCTATTTTGGGAGGCAGGGGGAGTTGAGGGGAGGGGGGAATGATGCATCTATAAGTATTTTGAAGCAGAAGATGCCCCCGTTTAAAGAAATCATTCTTAAAGAATCCAGCAGTGACAGCTGCTTCATTTTACGATGAGTCAGAGAAATGTGTTGTAATTCAGACACTTTTCCAAGAAATGTAGACATTTTCCCAATAAACAAAACAGAAATTATACAAAAACCAGGATTGCTGCTGCTCTAGGCATATGAAATGAAATTTCTCACTTTTCATATGTGGACCTCACTTTTAACGCATATATCCTTGGCTGAACCAGTGTTTCAGGGATTGCTCTTGGGGATTGCAGTTTAGTCTTCTTCAAGCACCTGATTCAACATGCATGCTTAAGATCACTTGATGTGGATGACCTCCTTTCACTTCTCAGAACAACTTGATCTCACCGTCTTGTAAATTCTAGAAAGTAGTGACAGGCAGGGAACCTCCCTTCCCCCTTTCTGAACCTTTCACCCTTTCCTATGATCACAAGTCACAAGCAGTGTTTAAATTTTCAATTCATTTTTAGAAACTGATCTGAGATTGATATATAAATAAACACTTCAGCTGCAACTGAATTTTGTTAGTGTCTAAGAGATTATCGTGATAATGATGTCATGAAATGACATCTGGGGAACTGTGAACCAACTATAAGCAGATCTTTGAAAAAGTATTAGGCCTGTAAATATTAGATCCTCAGATAACGGGCATGTAACATTGGAAGTGGTTTCCAATAAACGAAAGCAGGAGCTTTAATTTATTGGAAAGTACCACTATAAGAGTTGCCTATATATCCCAAAGCACCACTATAGGAGTTGCCTTGTACTTATTCATGTGAATGAATCAGTAAGCATGTAAGTGTATGCAGAAGCAGCAACTGAAAAGGAGCACCAGAAAGATCAAGAAGAGTTGAGCAAAATTACAAGAAGCCAAGATGCCTGCAGATGTAGATGACTTTAATTTTGTTATATTAAAGTGTATTAAAACTAATCAAATGTGAACCATTACCTTTTTCCTTTTTTTACTGTTGCGCCATATATTGAGCCCACATTCACCCAGGGCAAGGGCTCTCCCCCATCTCCTGGGAAAATAAACAGTTTCTGTTGGGATTCCTGGAAAATACTGCAAAAAGCGTATGTGCTTTCAGCTGAAATGGAAATTTATAGTAGTGTTTGTTTATAGCAAGAGAAATGTAGTTAATTATTCCAAAATAATTAACAAGGAATATAAAAGTGAAATCATGTACACGTGGTAGGCTAGTGTCATGGTACTCTTGGATTACTTGTTGATTCATTTTTTAGGGAATTGTAGCTTACGGTAAGAAGCAAAATTGATTATGTATGCATTCATGTGGCCTTTTATCAGTCATTGTAGTTTAATATGGTTAGAATTCGGGGTGGTAGAGTGCTTGCGTGTGATCTAAGGTGGATAATGTGCGGACCTGGAATTAAATTCCAGCTGCTCAAAAGGTCGCAACCTGCAAGCAGCCTGAGGGTAGGTAGCCCACAGCCTTCAAGAGATTATTCTGCAGTAAATGATCCCAGATCAGCTTAAATGCCCCCAAACCAAGTCTTTTGCAGCACAGAGCAAAGAACCTTTGGTTCTCTACGAGCAAAACTGGAAAATGAGAATGAACGAACATTGGACAGTTAGAAGGCAAAATTGAAAAGCCTGTTGTATTAACCTGACATTTTCACATTAGGCTCCCTGAAAGAGGAACACACACACACACAATGAACATTACCAAGGTGCATGCAATGTTTTGCTCATTTATTCTGCAGCCTTGATATTGTGCTGAGGACTTGGTTCAATATTCAGTGCTATGTAATCATATTAAATGGTAATGCAATCAAGCTTGCATTTGTCTATGGTGTGCACAGCTATGGTCCACAGGTGCCCTGTTGTTGCAGAGATGAGGCGCAAGGACAGTCTAGTACCCAACAGTGGAAGTGAGGCTGCTAAGGCCACCCCTTCCCTTCCTGAATGCCAGCAAGGAGATGGGGGATTTGGGGGGTGGCGATTCTTCTTTAGCTGTACAAATGTTCCTCCAAGCTTTAGAGACTGGTCGAGATGAAAGTCCAATAAGTAAGGGAAAGTTGAGGGAAAGCAGGATTGCTAGCCTAGGAACTTCTGGGCAAAGTAGACGGGTAGAAAGCAGAGGGACTCGGGTCGATGTGGGCGGCTTCTGGGGGAGGGTGACTGACAAGTAGAGCCGGTGACCTGAATATGGAAGATCTCCCGAGGGGACTGGATGCAACAAAGGAAGAGGCGCTCGAATGGAAGAGGAGGAGGAGGGTGCTGTTGGTGGCCGACCAAGGTGACGGCTAGTTCGTTGTGTGACAGGGCGATAAAGAGCCACGGGAAGAATTTGGGGGGGCGGGGGACGGACGGAGCAGGGGCTAAATAAACTTCTTCGAGGCGTTTCTCTTCACCGCGAGGAAAGCCGCGTGGGGAAGCACGAGGGGCGGCCGAGGCGAGGAGGGAAGGCGCCCCCGCCCCGCTCACGTCCAGGGGAGGATGGGAAAAGCAGATGGGGACTTGGGCAGGCGGGAAAAGAGCGATGGGGCGGACTAGAGGCGCGACGGGGCTGCCGAGAAGACAGGTTGGGCGGCGGGGGGGCGGGGCGCGCGCGGAGGATGCTGCCGCTCGCGTGGGGACGCCCCTCCCCCGGCTGGGCGGCCGTGGCCATGCCGTGTCCGCTGGGAGCCGCCCGCCTCGCCTGCCTGCCTTGCCTTGCAAGCTGCGCTGGGACCTGGCTGGGGCGGGTGGTTGGTGCGGAGATTGGCTAGCGGGGGCGGGCCAGGTGCCTGGCGATTGGCGGGCGCGTCGGAGCGGACGGCGCTGGGGAGGGCGCCGATTGGCTGCCGACGAGGAAGCAGGAAGGGAGGACGGAGCCTGAGCGGAGCAAGGGGCTCGCTGCTGCCGCTGCTGCTTTCGGGGAGTTAGAGCACATCGGCGGCGGGCGCGGAGGCGGCGGCAGCAGCAGCGGGCGCGGAGCAGCGGCGGCAGGACGGCAGCTGAGCCTTCCTCGGCCGAGGGAGCGGCGGGAGCGGGAGCCGCGGCGGGAGCAGGAGAAGCAGCAGCCGCCGCCGCCCCCTCCTCCGGCCTTGAGCGCGCGGGCCCCAGAAGGGGGCGCGCCTCCAGTCCCCATCCCGCAGCCGGGCGGCTACGCGGCGGCGGCGGCGGCGGCGAAGGAGGAGGAGGAGGAGGCGGCGCTGACGCAGCAGCGTGGAGCCCGGGACTCGGGCGCCCCGGGGCGTTCCAGCCGCCGGATTCCAGCCCGGCCGGGGCCTCCGCCTGCCCTGGGTGGGCCCGCTTGAGCCGAACGGCGCCGGCAACGACGACGACGACGACAGAGGAGCAGCAGCCCGCCAGCGCCCCGGTGAGTGCGAGCGAGCCAGCGAGTTCGGCGTCAGCCTGCACCGGCCGGCCGGCAGCGCGATGGGGCTCCGCCCGCCGACGCCGCCAGCCTCGCGAGCCCCACAAGCCGGAGGCGGCGGCGGCGGCGGCGGCGCTGCTTGGAAGGGCGCAGCGTCGAGGAACTTGCCGGGCGCGGGCGGGTGATGGGAACAGGTGCCGCCGGGGAAGCGGGGGGCGGAGGGGGGCGCGGCTCTTGCGGGACGAGGCGGCGCGCAGGCTTCAGCCGGGGGCCACCGGGAACTTTCTGCTGGGATCCGGCTGGTGCCGGCACGGGGCCCTGGAGGGGAGGGGAAGGAGGGAGGACGATCGGTGGCGGTCTTCAGGCAGCGTGTCCCTCCGGGCGCCTCAGCCCGCTTCCCTGATCTTCCTCGTGTCACGGTGGGTGGGTGGGTGGTTTGCTGGCTGCGGTTCCAGTAGCAGCCGCCGCCGCCGCCGCCGCCGCTCCCCTGCAACCTCCTCCTCTCCCTCTGTGTGTGTCGCCGGGGGCCTGCCTTGTCGCTGGGGGTGGGCGGCGATCCCCCTTCCCCGAAGGGCGCCGTGGCCCTGGGGCTGGTCCTCTGTCCGAGCTGAAGGACACTCCGGGCTGCTCCCGTCTCTCCCCGCCCATCACCCGGCCGCCGGAGAGCAGGGAGGAAATGGCCCCCGGTGGCAGGTGGGCTGAGCTCTGGCAACGACTCCCCGGTGGCCCACTTGGATCATGCGAGCGAGGGTCAGGCTGCCGCTTCGCTTCCTGGGATTAGCTTTAAGGTCTAAAGTTATGTAATAAAGCCATTTAACTTTTACATCGACGATCGAGAAAACAACACCCCCTTTCCCCCTCCCGATTCATCTGGGGGAAAGGCAGGAACTGAACCCATGGGAGACCACGTGAAGGGCCTCCTTGGCGCTCGCGCTATCTCTCTCTCTCCTTCCCCCCTTCCTAATTTTGTCCCCTGCCTCTTGGGAAACGACATTGTCACCCAGTCTTGTTTCCTAGTTGGGAGAGGGCTGCTGTGTCTATCCGAGGCACCTTTTGGGATAAGCCAGACACAGAGACAGATGTCCTGTTTAAAATGGGCTGTAAAAGACAAAGACGCATGCAACACTCTCTCTTTCTCGTGAGGGGTCTTTTGGAACAGGAACTTGGAACCGAGCGCCAGAACAGAAGCGATCAAACCTAAGAGGGTTTAAAAAAAGAAAGTGGTCGTGGGAAAGAGGCATCGGAAACTGAATCTTGATGGGTTTTCTCTAGAAAGAACAAGGCACTTAATAACTTGACACTGGCTCAAGAGACATGCCTCAGTGAGGCAAAGTAAAGTTACAGATTTGCTGTGATATTTGAAAGCTGCCATCAAAATAGTGGAAGACGTTTGAGAAGTGGTAGCAAAAACAAAGGGAGCCAAGTGGATGTGTTACTTGTTCCTGGAGATAATTATTTTGTAATTGTTAATAGTTCAGGGAATATAAATATTTGTTTTGTGTGGTATATCTCTGTTTATCACAACTTGGATGTGTAGTGTTTGCTTAGGCCAAAATCAGATGTACATTTTTGAGTGCATTGGCTATCAACTTTGGAATCTTCTTCCCTTCCAGTAAGGAATACTGGAATGTACTTTATCACTATTCACAAGCTCAATCTTCTCCTGTTTTAAATGTCACCCCTTGCACTTAGGGAGAAGATGCTAACACCAGTTTTCACACCCTCCTCATGTCCTAAGAGTAGCAAGAGAGTGTACCTAAGAAGTCCCCTTCCCTTCCTTGTCTGACAGTTTCAACAGAGAGTGAACAAATGGGTACCCAGAATGAAATCCACATCAGTGTTTCTGACAGGTTATCCTCCCTCGCACCATAGCCTTCTGAATAGGCAGGAATGGGTGGAGAACTGAAATGGTGCAGTTGATGGAACATTTCTGTTTGCAGGTGATGTGTAAAATTGTGGGAAGGTTAAAATATGATTGGTTAGTCATCCACAATGTATATCTCCAGCCTGTTTAAAAACCTTTTACAGGCTCGTTTTAGAACTTCATTTCTTTTAAAAACAGAAAAGAGGATTGAAGTAGTATTGTGAAATTATCTTTAGGGGTTCTTGTAGTACTTCATGAGTGTTCTAAAAATGTTTGGTAACAGCATTAAATTAATCTTGTACTCAGATTGTAGCAACTCAGTGTTGCATGTTGGACGACTGTGTTGTGAAAAATGTGTATAGTTTTCATTTTGCTTGTGTGTCATCACTCCCTATGCATAACTACAGTGTGGAACATCAGGCATTCTGTTTCATTATGTAGACCACATGTTCACACATCTGACTTGAGCTTCTAAAATCTGGAAGCTGTGTTTTACGTAGAAGAATAATGTTAGGATTAGGAAAGTACCTTTCTGTTTTTATTTCCAAATTAAGGTTTCTTGTCATATATGTAGAGGAATGAAGTTAAGAGTCAGATGACACTGATTTCCATTTGTTTCTATCTTATGGAAAACAAAACCGGTTGCTTGTGTTGCTTTCTGTAGTAAAATGTGAAAGTAACTTCAGGCGATCAGCTCTTGCTCCTTTCCGGATGCTTCTGACTTTATGAGATTAGCCAGTTCTAGATGGATCATTACGTTTTATTTATTTCTTTAGATATGTAGCCTGACTAATCCTTAAGGCACGTAACATTTCCTTATTGCATCGACTTTTGTTAATTTCCATTTTGTAAGAAATTGATCCAAGGCAGATGCCTGAGATCACCTGGTGAATCCATGGATAAACCGTGGCTTTGAGTTTTGGTTTCACTGGCTGCCCTTCTTTCCAAATTATCCCTGTGTCAAGCTCTTGCCTACAGGGCATTTGCAAGCTGTTAGATGTGTTCTGTAGATTGGATTGAGATCCAGAGTTCTGGTTTCAAGTAGGTGGCGCAATGCTAAATTTTCCTTGTGACATTCCAAAGGGACTTTTACAGAGTGCTTGAGGAATTCATGCAATTCTGGCATCATAATAAATCAGAATATTTGCTGGTTCAAGAGTCTTGCTTGTATCGTGTTTGTAAGCTGATCTAGTGCATGCTTCTCTTCAAAGATATATGCTGACTTTTTCATTTGCTTAGTGTGTTTTTTAAGTTGTATTGTTTGATTTTTACTCATCCAGTATTTTATGAAGCCCCTTGCCACACAGGGGCGTGAAGTACCTGGTCTAAAGGAATTTTCTAGTACTGATAGCTCAGCACTTTTTTTAGTATTAGAAATGCAGTAGCTTCTCTGTTGGACATTGAGGGGGCTTTGTCCATGCTTGCTTTAAGTCAGATGAACCGGACAAAAGTGAAAGGTGAGAATAGGTATCAGCATGTAGCAGTGAAGGTGGGCTGGAACAGGATTACCTGTTAAGCATCCAAATGAAGAACGAGGAGAACGTTGTGAATATTGAATATAATTTCAGTATAATGCAGGCAGGAAAAGCTGCACAAGCTGCACCATCGTACATATACATTGAATAAGTGTGAAATACATTAAAAAAGGATAGGAGGATTTACAGTGTCTTTGGCCATTTGCGAACTTTGGGAAAGAGTAAGCCCCAACATTAAATTACTGAAATCTTCTTTCTTAACGTGTACGCTAATAGTGTCGTGCTGTGTTGCACTTCTGGAGAAGTTAGATGTCGCCTATCCTATGTTCCCAGCTCAAAGCAGGATGAACAGAAATCTGGAGTCCTTGTTAGAGATGGGTTTCTCGTCTTAGTCAAGTGTGTAAATCAGTCATAGAAAACAAGGTTTGAAGGGATCCTTGCAGGTAGTCTCTTGTATGTACCGGGCCCCAGACTGGAATTCTTGCCTGCATTTATAATCATCTCAAAATAGAAGGGAAGTGGATTTTATTTATTAAAATACTTTTATTCTTCACTCTACTTTCCGTTAATGAGTATTTAAAGGCGCTAACTGTTACCATAAAGCACCAATGCTGCAGCAAGCAAAGGCTCTAGCAGCTCAGCCAGCTGCTTGTGGCTGGAAAGCCAGACAGGATGTTTGTGACTGTTGCCATGGGAACAAAGGGGCAGTCCATTCTGTACTGAGCACCGGATGTTAGCTCAGTGTGTGTGTGTCATTTGACCCGTACTGGATGTACTTGGGAGGAGTTTCGTCTTGCTGTTGTTGAGTGCAGACATGATTCTCTGTACTGATGTAAGAGGCAGAAATAAATGATGTAAATAGTTTTCTGTCTGCTTCTTTCCTCCCTGGGGACACCAAAGGGGAGAGAGGAAGAACGGTGTGTTCCTCTCATACATCTGAGAAGAATCGCCGGACCTCGCCTGCTTATCAGCAGAGTGGAGACGCGGGGAGGTCGACAGGAATATCTGCCGGTGCCTACGCTGTGGCACATTCCTCTGACCCAGGCAGAATTCCAACAGTGGTAGCAGAGGATGGTTCCGATGAATTCCAACAGTGGCAGCCTTCGGATGGTTGCGATTCATCGGACATCTGCATGAGAGGCTGGTGGATTGTCCTCCTCTGCTCCAAGGGAGAAGGCAAGCGTCTGAAAGAAGCCAGAGGCTCCACAGACAGCTGGTGGAAAGAAGAGGTGTTTTCCAGAGCAACAAAGTTCAAGGTATGCTGCATTTCGGGCTAAAAGTGTGAACGCAGGAAGATTAATTCCCTGGTTCACGGAGCTGCGTTTCAAAGAAAACAAGAGCTCCGGAGGAAGAGGCCTGCAGCTTGAAGGCTGAAGCCTGCATTCCACAAATTTTTGTGGTAGATAAGAAGTCCTATTGAAATGCATTGTTGCTAGGTAACGGTCCTGGAAAGTTACTGGCAAAGGGGCTGGACTCTGAGTGTAAGCCTGGGAAAGCGAAACAAAACCAGAGAATGTTTTGGCTACAAGGTTTACGAGCTCTTGGAAGGGACTTTTCAATAGCAGCCTGAGTTTAGCTGCCAGGTGCAAAGAGCGTAAACAATTTGCAGTTTGCTGCGTGAGAAAGGAAAAAACAACTGTTGGATTTTACAGTTTGTTTGACAGCGTGAGCAAGAGGCTTGGCTTCAAGATGGATGCCAAGAAAGGGGAGGTTTGCCTTGCCCACCTCCCTTAACCAATGACAATTATTCATCTTGGTCTGTAAAGATGAAGGCCCTGCTGCAGAATCAGAGGCTTTTTGATGTAATTGAAAACCCCATCCCTGCAGCACCAACCAGAGGTTGGGAGTCGCAGAATGTAAGGGCCAGGACTGCTATAATTCTGTGTGTCTCAGATGATCAGTTGGTGCATGTTCAGCATTTAGAAAATGCGAAAGAGGTATGGGACACGCTGCGTACAACGCATCAGAGAGATGCTGGTTCTTCAGCGTTGCTGTATTTTGAGAAATTGACCAATCTGAGACTTGCGCCTGATGGAGATGTTCAAGCGCACCTGACAGAAATGAAGTTTCTGCGTCAACAGATGGTGGAACGCAATTTCCGTCTTCAGGAGGAAGTGTTTTGCTTCATGATGATAAACAGCCTTAGCCGCACCTACAAGGTTGTTGCCAGTCAGCTTGGTTCCCTACCGGCCGCGCAGCTGACCGCGGAGAGAGTTTGTGCTGTGGTCCTGAATGAACACGACAGACTTGCTGCACTGGAAGAAAAAGACAGGGGAGGGAAGAACAGAGTTCTAATTCCCCACTGCTGATGCTACTGGGGAGCATGGTGTAGCATTGAGTGCTGTCCGATGCTACAATTGTGGACAGACTGGGCATCTACAGCGAAACTGTAAGAAGCCGCGCCAGTCAAGAGGAGCAAAGAGCAGCTCTACGAAGCCTCAGGCGTCAGGCAAAAGCCGTACCAAGTGCCAGGTGAAACCTGCAAAGGCTATGATGGCGAAAGGAACCACGCCAGATGTTGGGAACTCGTTCATAATCGACACGGGCTGTACAAAACATTTGTGCCCGCACAGAGGACTATTTTCGACGTTGAAGAAGCAAAGCTTCACTGTGAAACAGGCCAACGGTCAGGAGTTGGAAGCGACTGGAATTGGGACTGTGTATCTTGAGAGTCTGAACTTGACTATAAGTGATGTTTACCTGGTTCCAGAACTGAGATTTAATCTGCTGAGCGTGTCGCAGATTGCAAAGAAAGGACTGAAACTGTCCTATGATGCTAAAAGCTGCAAGATCTACAAAGATGGAGAACTGTTTCTTACTGCCAAAGAGAAAGATGGACTGTATTTGTTGACTTTTGATCAAAGTGATTACATGAAATGTAATTCTTCTGATGTTTCTAACGAAATCTCTCTTGCAGGTGTGACCAGTGTGAGCACCAGGAAGGTGACTAAGACCAAGAAGGTCGACAGAGCATTTCAGCGGGTGTATGCTGATGTGATTGGTCCTCTAGAACCATCTAGAGGCGGTGCAAAATATTACCTTTTGTGTGTGGATTGTTTCACTAATTATTCTTGGGTTTATATGATGGAGAAACCGCAAGAAACTTTAGAAAAGTTTCAGGAGTTTTGTGACAAGGTTAAAAGTATGCATGATGCTAACATTGATTGTCTTTTCACAGATGAGAAGCAAATTTTTCTGTTGCAGAAGTTTCAGAAGTTCCTGGATGGAAAAGGGATAGACCACAAAGTTGCAGTCTCGCAAGAAGCGTGGAACAGGGGGGTCTGTGTAAAGTGAACAAAGAATTGCAAAAGGGGATGAATGCGCAATTGCTGAGTTCACATTTGCCACATGAATATTGGGCCGAATCGCTAGCGTCCTATCTTCATGTGTGGTTGAGAAAGGTCTCAACAGAGTTGGGATGTTCTCCTTTTGAGAAGCTGTTCAATAGAAAACCTTCTGTTGCCTATTTCAAGGTTTTCGGGTCTCATGTGAGAACAGAAGCTCCAGGTGGTGTAAAGAATGCCAGAGGCATTTTTGTGGGTTATGAAAAAGGTCTCTACAGAGTAATTTTGTCTGAATCTGGTCAGGTGATTCTCACAAAGTTTCTAGAGAGTGCTCCTGAACAGGAGAGGTTGATAGTACAGACATTTCCCACAGGAAACGATGATGATGATGATGAGTTTGATCTTATTGAGTTCAGTAGTACTGATGATGACACTGATAGCTCAGAGAGTTCAGTTGTAACAGTCATTGAGAGAAAATCTCACACAATGGATAGACCTTCACAGGTGAAGGATGAACCACTGATTGCTACTGGTTCTCAACAGAGTCCAAAGGTTGAACCAGTGAGCACAGAAGATCAGAACCTCATACGCAGGTCTGAGAGAGTTACAAAGGGTGTACCACCAAAGAGGTACTCAAAAGAATTTGCTAACTTAGCTGTTGCATGTGTTGCTATTGTTAACAAAACGTTCTGCTATTTTTAATCAAAACTACTGGCTCTGAAGAAATAGCCCAGCGTAAAATCATCATCATGAAAGAGAAGAGCACACAGTCATGGACCAGAGCCTTGTTGAACAGTATCATTTTTCATGAAATGCCAAAGCAGAATCAAAGTGGGGGCTGGACGTTCAAGCGTTAAGATACTTCCAAAGTCTGGAAGCCAAAACAGTAGCCTTGCACTGTTTACCTATCAACTGCATTTTAGTCAGTGGATTGTTGAGCAGGGCTTGAAGACTTAGTACAGTCGTAGCTTGGATGCCGAACGCCCTGGAACTCAGATGTTTTGGCTCCCGGATGCTGCAAACCCGGAAGTGGTTGTTCCGGTTTATGAATATTCTTTTGGAACCCGAATGTTCGGCAGGGCTTCCGCGGCTTCTTATTGGCTGCAGGAGCTTCCTGCAGCCAATAAGAAGCCATGATTTGGTTTTTGAACATTTTGGAAGTTGAACAGACTTCCAGAACGGATTCCATTCGACTTCCAAGGTACGACTGTATTTATAATGTGCATTTTCAATGCCTATTCAAATAATTTTGAATGCATATTTCTGCAATCTTTTATAACTTCCTGTCCTGCAAGGTAGGTCAATACAGTGGTACCTTGGGTTAAGAACTTAATTCGTTCTGGAGGTCCGTTCTTAACCTGAAACTGTTCTTAACTTGAAACACCACTTTAACTAATGGGGCCTGCTGCGCCGCCACCGCCCGATTTCTGTTCTCATCCTGAAGCAAAGTTCTTAACCTGAGGTACTATTTCTGGGTTAGTGGAGTCTGTAACCTGAAGCGTCTGTAACCTGAGGTACCACTGTATTGTTATGACCATATTGCAGATGGGGTGGGTGGGTTGAGGCTGTGAGGACCAAGGACCTCCGAGTCCACACTCCTCAGCTGTGATGCTGCATCAAGCAAACTGCAGTTGGTATGCTGCAAATGGGTTAAACACTGTTTTGCCGTTTTGAGAGACTTTGTTAAAAATACAGATTTTTCTAGCAAATTGATTCAAGCAAAGGATTCATTTTCATTCTTTTAAGAGAAGAATCACAGCAAGGTCCAGAATTGTAGGCATTTCCCCTGTAAGCAAGACCTGTCAGTTTCATTCTGGATGCTTCCTCTTTGCGACCTTTGCCCCAGTAAGGCACCTGTCATTGATCTTTCAAAGCAAAGAGAAAACCGGAGCACCTTTAGGACCAGAAATCCTCTGATCTCTGAGTGGATTTGCTTAAGCATTAGATAGAACCCCCAGCCCAACATTCCTGTTGAAAACCTGCCTTAATCTCTGTGAACACAGTCTACAACATTCTTTATTATAGCACTTTTAAAGAGGCCCTTTGTCGAGGCAAAGCTTCATATAGGAGACAGTGAGAGAACTTAAGACACTCTTTAGATTTGGGTCCTCCTCCTAATGTTTGTGGGATTAGTGACCCTTTAAAGTGGGGCACAGTGTGACATTTCATAGACAGCTTTGCATTTTTCCATCATTCTCCTATTTGTTTCCCTTATAAGAAACACTCCTAATGATACCCCGTCATTCACGTAGCAGTACCGAATCTGCTTTCACAATATTTACAGCTCCTCCTTGAATCAATCCTTCAAAGTTTCTGTGCCATTTTTTGAAGGCTTCTGTTCTCCTCCTTTAACAAAACAAACAAACAAACAAATGGAATGTTGGCTTCTTTATAGCCCTTCACAGCTTTTTATAGAACAGTAACTCTTCGATACTGTCCTTTTGAATAAAAATATCTTACGGGGACAGAGACATTAAGCTACCATATTTTTCGCGCCATAAGACACACCTAGTTTTTAGAGGAGGAAAACAGGGGAAAAAATATTCTGAACAAAAAGTGGATGTATGATTTTTGTGGTTCATACTGTGGCCACAGACATGTGATTTGACGGTGAGTTTGGGGTAGCCCAATGCAAAAATCCTGGGAATCCATGTGGATCCGTGCTTTGTAACCACGTTTTTGCGCCATTGTGGCCCCACGAAAAAGTGGATGTGGGTGTGTTTTGGGTGCAGGCTGTAGCCATGGACATGCTATGTGATCTGGTGGTGAATTTGGGGTGACCCAATGCAAAAATCCTGAGGATCCATGGGCTTTTACCTTTCCCCTCCCAGGCAGCCTCCTTTATCTCTAGCTCCCTTATCTCCCTCCCCGATCGCTTGGTGATTAGTGGCTTTGTTTCAACACCCACTTCCCTCTTTTAAAAAACAACAACAACATGATCTGCTTTTCGCTCCAGGGGCCACACATTCACCCCATAAGACGCACAGACATTTCCCCTTACTTTTTAGGAAGAAAAAAGTGCATCTTACGGAGCAAAAAATACGGTATATCCAGAGTTGCGTTACAGAAGGAAGTTTATACTGTGGGTCTTTCCTATCCCTTCCTCTCCACTGCAACTTCCCACAGGCAACTGATTAGCTTCTGTGAAAACAAGATGCTGGACTAGATGGGGCATTGGCCTGATGCAGCAGCCTGTTCCTGTGTTCTCTGTGTCGAACTATAGACTGTAAGTCTTTTAACCAGGGCCTGTTGTCCTGCCATGTACTCCAGTAACTACTATTCAGTGGCTGTTGCTGCTGAGTAACTCTTTGAACCTGGTAGGCACCTCTGGCATTCTTTTCCTCCTGCATTTGCCTTGTGCATCCCTGATTTCAGGCTATGGTTGCTAAAAAGATGGTCCGTTAATATGTATTGAGGATGTGAGATGAATGCATGGAGGAGTCAGCCCTTGGGACAAGAGACTGTTTTCCTCAGCCTTGTGATCCTTTTTAAAAAATAAAATAAAATTGCTGGTGCTTCTTGCACTGTACAGTGGTACCTCGTTACATACGCTTCAGATTACACATTCCGCTAACAGAACAGAAGCACAGAAATAGTGCTTCAGGTTAAGAACTTTGCTTCAGGATAAGAACAGAAATCATGCCGCAGCGGCAGCAGGAGGCCCCCTTAACTAAAGTGGTCTTCAGGTTAAGAACAGTTTCAGGTTAAGAACGGACCTCCAGAACGAATTAAGTACTTAACCCGAGGTACCACTGTATTTGAAACTTTTATTGAAATAGAAGACTGGGAATACTTTTTCTTCAAATACTGTTCAGACTTATTCCAGTACAGAAGCTTGACTCCCAGCAATCATTAGATGCAAAACAAACAGCTGAAATAGTTGGTGAGCCTTGGTAGTCAGACATGCAATTATACCTTATCAATTGGTACCACAAGTAACATAACTATTTTAATTAATACCTGTTAATTAAAAAAAGAAAACTCATCAAGTAGAGAATACTGAGATGACACATTTGGATTTTGCTTCTGTGCAATGCATATTTTCCTCTCCCCACTAACCTACATAAGTAGTTGTAAACACTCAGATGAAGGAATAATGCAAAGAGGCTATTGTGGAAACAACTTCTAGTTTTCAGCTAATCAATTGAACTAATTGAAAATCGCCATTATAGCCCTGTGCATAACTGTAATTTAATTGTATTGAACAAAATAGAGAAAGTAAGGAGCACTGCACAGTGAATGTGTGCTACGTAACAAAAGTTTGGATTGGTCGGCGTAGGACACAACCATGGGTTGTGTGTGTGCACTAACAAAATTATGAGTGAGCCCCTGTGCTGAGCTAATTCCTTGCGATACAATAGGTTGCTCACTCTTGATTTCCCAAATCAGTTAGGGTAACTTGTGACGTTTCTGCATATTAGCTGCCCTAAACAACAACAACAGCAACAACAACACATTTTTTTTATTGACGACTCTCTTGTGTTCTGCTAGGACATTTGGCTGATTCAGTCGCTAGAGTAGCAACAGAACAAGGGCAAAGCAGTGAGAGATTGTATAGGCAACTTTGAAAAGTCAGCAAGAAATGCACACAGAAGCAAAATTGCCATGGGATCAGGATACGAACCTAATACAGATTTCAGAAGATTGCTGTATAGAGTTAATTATGTTGATAGCCTTGAAAAAGGGGGCATTTTTTGGACAGGAGATTTTAAATCCAATTCCAGACAGTTCCAGCCTGAGAGGATTTCAAGTGCAGTATTTTTTTTAAACTGTTAAGAGGAGCAAAATACAATAGGTCTGTGGAGTTGATGAAAGTTATACTTCTTTAATTTAGTGGTGCTTAGTTCTTTCACCGGAATTATTCCTTCGCCTTCAGGTTTGCACAAACTAATGCATTATATCATTGGGGCAAAGTTTTATGTTATCCATGAGCCAGATGTGTTTCAGTGGGTAATGGGAACCCTTTTTCTAATTGGAAAGGGGAGGATTTTTATCTAAAGGCCCCAAATTGATTAATGTGGCAAGTGAAGGAAAAAAGAAACCACAACGCTAATGAATGAGTTTAGTCTTCGTCCTGGATTAACAACCAAGTCGGAATTTATGACTTTTCATATCACATAGCTGTAAAAGCAAGATATAATTTCTTTCAAATTCCTTAGAAACCTTCAATAAAATATTTGGGGATTAAAATCACTTCTAACTCTGGGATTTAATTTCAAACACACACAGTCCTTTAGTTGATAAGATTTAAAGAGATCAGGATCAGTAGAATCAATATGGAATATCATAGATAACAGTAAATGGCTAAACTTATTTCTCTTTTGTCCTAAAGTATATACTTTATCATGAACATTTTAAAATAATATCCATCTTCATCTTAGTGGGTCAGTCAGTATCAGTCCAAAATGGATATCTGGTTATAAAGGAGGAACATAATGTAAAAATGTATTCTGACACCTTTGTATTGTTATCGTTTATTTTAACTTGGAGTAAACAGGAGTGGCATATCCTTGTGTTCTAAGGTATTCTTATCCTGTCACAATCCCTCATATACCTTTTAATGTAGCAGGTAACATTATTATTGTTTAGAACACGGTCCATTTTCTTACTGCTGTTAATCCATTAATCTCAATAGGTGTTTTAATTGGTTGGGAAAACTAGCCAGTTTCTAGATATGACAGTCTATTGAACTTTCAAGAATGTGATTGTATTTAATTCTACTTAGTATCTTAGCAGAGGTGAATTTTTTAAAAATGCGGAATGCACATGCGTTTACATTTTCCCAGCTAGCTGCTTATCTTCCACAGGTGATGAATATTAGTACTTTGGGCTAGTTTACTAAATCTGAGGTGTTAAGAGCACATACTTATAACTGGTCTTTAATCAGTTTTTAAGGTGTTACTTGAGAATGAAAGTTTACAAGAGGCTGGAAGAAGAGATCTAAAAATTACAACAGCTGAACATGTATGGATTTACATTTTTTAAAAACAGTTCCAGATATCAATAGCTGATAGTCTAAAAGAAAACCACTATATGGAGTAATGCATATATACATATGTGATTCCTGTAAGATTCAGGAAATTCTAGGCTATATTTGGAAGTGTGGTTTAGTAGGAGCAGACTGTAAACATTGGTGGGTTGAAAATTCAGCATACAAGCATACTCAATACTTTGGATATTCCTTATGCGTAGATTCATTAACAATCTTACTCGGATATGTTAGATGTCTGAGTATTAGCAAAAAGGATGCTAAAGTGGTTCCAACATAATGGCAGTGAAAATAGAGATAGCAAGACGGAAAGTGCACCTGCTTTGGAAGTCTCTAGTGAGTTTGTGGGAAATAATTAAAATAGTTAAGGTTGACAGTGAAATGTAGGGAAGGAAGACAAATAATTCCTTTTCTGATGGCAAAAATATACTAATGGGATGGAGCACATGGATTCAGTTATATAAGCTAATATTTTGGAGCTATGACTGTGAATAATATTTCATAATGTGTATGAAATGTGCAAAATTGTTTTTTTTAAAAATACCTAATATTCCTAAGTTTGCTATACAGTGGTACCTCGGGTTACATACCCTTCAGGTTACATACGCTTCAGGTTACAGACTCCACTAACCCAGAAATAGTACCTCAGGTTAAGAACTTTGCTTCAGGATGAGAACAGAAATCGTGCTCCCGCGGCGCAGCGGCAGCAGGAGGCCCCATTAGCTAAAGTGGTGCTTCAGGTTAAGAACGGACCTCCGGAACGAATTAAGTACTTAACCCGAGGTACCACTGTATATACCATTTTAAATCCCCAAAGGATTCCTGAAAGGTAAATAAAGCAAAATTTACTTGATTGCTAGCAGAACAGACACTAAGATGTACTTATGCTGTATGCATCTTTACTCTAGCTTAGTTAAAAGTATTTTTCATGCAAAAAATGCATGCAGATATGAATGCTTGGGGTAAAGGTTGAAGCTCCATTGAAACAAGACTTGTCTATGTGAAGCTGGGTGGGTAAGCCAAAATCCTGGATTCCCTACTGAATTGTTTGGGGAGAATTTGGCAACCATAAAGAGACATAAATGTTGCTAAATAGTGGCAGGAATGTGCAAGAAACGGTTTGATGGGTTGAAGAAACTATTTAACACCTGGACTCATTGGTATAAAGCAAGAAGTTAGGGAGGGAAGCTTTTAAGCTCTAAGAAAACAAGAAGAGCAGGCATTGGAGTCTGCAGCTGGGGGCATCCATGCAAATTGTGACGCTTCCAGCTTTCCTAGGGGAGAGCGAGACAGTGTGTGTAATCTTTTCATGGCTCAGGGGTTCATTTATTATAACTCCCACCATGTGACAATTCTACAGTAGTTAGAGAAACATAAGTACGTAAAAACGGCTATTCTCATCACAGTGGTTAAAGTCGTTTAGTCTGCACTGCTAGTCAAGCAGTATTCTCCATTGCTTTTCTGCATTTTTGTTCGGCGTCATCTGCTGTCCTGGAAATGTTGACATCAGGTGAAGAACTTTCCTGTTCCCTCTATTAGGGCAGCACGCGAATGTACAGTAAACCTGGATGTTTCTGTACAGCCTGCTGCATCATCATCCCTACACCAGCGATTACAGCAAGTTAGAACAGGGCTGTCGTCATTATCATTGTTTGAGATTTCTGAAACTGACCAAAGGCTAACTTTGGGGCTGTTTTCCCCAGAACAAGTCCCCCAGTGTCCAGGCCTATTTGTTAGTCGATTTGGCATATTCATACAATACCCAAGCTCTCTCTCTGTGTATGTGATTTCTGAGTCCACATCCTGTACTTGGTGCATACGTTCACATATGTCAGTTGTGATCTGGACACTGATGATAACATAAGAATAGCCTGCTGGACCAGACCAGTGGCCCATCTAGTCCAGCATCCTTTTCTCACAGTGGCCAACCAGATGCCTGTGAGAAACCAGGGAGAAGAACCCAAGCTCAAGGGCGCTCTCTGACCTCCTGCAATGTCCAGCAACCAGTATTCAGAAACATTGCTAACTCCAACAGTGGAGGTAGTGTATAGGCATCATGGCTAGTAGCCATTGATAGCCCTCTCCTCCGTGAATTTGTCTAATCCTCTTTTAAAGCCATAATTACCTCCTAGGGGAGCGAGCGTCATAGTTTGACTATGCACCGCATGAAAAAGCGCTTTCTTTTATCTGTCCTAAATCTTCCAACATTTAGCTTCATTGGATGTCAATGAATCTGTCATGGAAAGCATTTTATCAGAAAGTCTTAAAATACTACTAAATGCTACACTCTTCAGAAAATATGTTGTCTTTCATTTATCAAAGGTCTGGAGGTGTTTAAGCAGAGGTTGAATGAGCATTTGTCATGGATGCTTTAGCTGAGATTTCTGTCTTGCAGGCGGTTGGACTAGAACAGCCTTTATCAACCTGTGGGTCCCCAGATGTTGGACTACAACTCCCATCACCCCTAGCTAGCAAGGCAAGAGTTCAGGGATGATGGGAGTTGTAGTCCAGCAACATCTGGGGACCCACAGGTTGAGAACCACTGGACTAGATGATCCTTGTGCCCCTTCCAACTCTACAATTCTATGATTCTATTATTCTATGACTGGAAATATAGAATTGATTGACTTTCCTTATGACTATAATGTTTTGAAGTCACAAAGGCCTTTTGGTTATACCCCGTGATTTTTTAAAGGGGGTACTCAAGGGCACACAGTTGTTAAAAAGTGTGACACTATAATAACTTAATGGTGAGTACCAACACCTATTTTTTGGGGGGGGGAGCACTGGTTATACCATCCCATTTTCTTGTTTTGTTGTTTCTGTTTTAGCTATTGATTTGTGCTTTTATCTCGTGTTTTTAATCTTGTGAACTGTCCTGAACTGTCTTTTGATGAAGGGTGGTATATAAATCTTAATAAGAATAAGATTAATTCTCAACTCTGTGTTTGTGTTGGACAAAGTGGGAGTGGGCGCTTGATTATGGTTACTGTTTTCGGTTTCATATATATATTTAATCACATTTGTTTAAAAAGCAGTAAGGACTAGAACAGTAAGGACTGCAAAGGACCAAATGAAGTATGCAGCGCAGAGAGCTGCCTGTCTCTACTTGCATGACAAAACCATCCTTGCAGCTCCTGCCTTCTGACTCTGCAGAGCTTGTATTTTGGGACACCAACATCACCCAGTCCTTCATGCTGGGTAATGCTGGCCAAGATGTGGTGTTTGCATTTGAAGGTGACCTCAAGTGATGGCCTAAGCAATTTTTGCAAAAGTAGCATGATCCTTGGTAAGAGCTGTCTAGCATATGTAGCAAAGATTATTTGGGAAGAGAGACTTGGGTCTGAGAGAGGTCTCTGGTAGCCAGAGGTGCAATTTTGTAATTTTATTTTCGCACTAATTTCCTGCACTATTGCTGCTCATAGCAAGCTTTCATGAAACATTTTCATGGTGGATCATTCCACATCAGACTTAAGAAGCTGAACAACGATTGGTACCAGAACAGCAAAGAATCAAGCACAAGGGATTTCTCTCTTCCTTGTATACACCTTCATGGTACTTCTGTACCCGTGGGTAGTAATTCTTTTTGATGATTAGGCTGTAAATACTGGAATAAGCATCTGTAGAATGAGAGTGGCTTTTGGTCATGAAAAATTGCTGCTGTGTCAGTAGTGCCCAGCAATGTAAGCACAACCAGCAAAGACCCAATAACACCCATGGTATACCACAACTGTTCTAAAACCACCAAAACATGGTTGAGTACTTGAAGCCTTAGTAAACATTATTTTGCTTCTGGAATGTGGCCTGGGCTCCTTTGAGAGAGAAGGGGCAGGATATAAATAATAATAAAACTTGAATTGGTGCTGTTGTTGGCTAACCTATAGAGAGTAGAAAGTGTTGTTTTCCTAATCATCCATACATGGAGAGCAGGTATTGTAGGCAATGTTGTAGGTGTTTCTGGTTTTGGGGATTAGGGTGAAAGGAGGCCATGGGATAGAAATAGGTCTTGCCTCCCTGGCTTGGCATAGTGAAGATTGCCATCTTAAAAACGAACTAGTCTTCTCTGCAGGGATAGAACTGAGGAAGAACTTCATCTATGACTTCAAGGATTGTATCCTACAAAGTCGTCCCGCGTGCAAAACTGAACTTCATGCTCCCCCCAAATCTGTTTACGTGGTTCCCTCAACCCTCCCAAGCGGGATGGGGGGACGGACAGGGAGGTGAAAGGAAAGGTGAAGTTTTGTTGTTCAAGCAGAAGCCCCGGCACAAACAGGATAACTTTGTTTGGTACCACCCTCCATCTTGTGCACACTTGGAGTAATATCCCATTGTGGGACGTAGAATCATAGACATGGAAGGGACTGCAGTGGCAGACTAGCTCAACCCCCTGCTCAGTGTGAAATCTACATGCAGGGTGCAACTATAACCTCCCTAATAGATGGCCATGGAGCCTCTGCTTAAACGCCTTCATTGAAAGGGAGCCCACCACCTCCCAGAGCTCAAAGCTCTTAGGGTTAGGAAGCTTTCCCTTATTGTATAATTAAAATCTGTTTCCCTGCAATTTTCACTGGTTGGTTCTTGTCCTGCCTTGTGGAGCAGCCGAGAACAAGTCTGACCCACCTTCTGCACGACAGCTCTCTTGAGCAGTGTTTCACAAACTTGGGTCTCCAGCTATTGTTGGACTACAATTCCCATCATCCCTAGTTAGCAGGACCAGCGGTCAGGGATGATGGGAACTGCACTCCAAAAACAGCTTGGAGACCTAAGTTTGGGAAACACTGCTCTTGAGTCTATCCATAGGAGTGGGCTGCAGCTGCAGGTTGCTCTTCAATCGTATCTGTAGAATAGGTACAGGACTAGTGTTGTAACCACCGTGTGATAAGCTTGTATTCTTCTTTGAATTGTGGCTTGCCACCCACACCTTACTTGGCAGGTGCAATATTCTGCTGAACTTCACTATTTGGCTTCTACAGACTGTAGTGTACTTCCAAAATTTCATATTCCACGAATGAAATGTTTTTGTTGTGATAATAAAAACCGATACACACTTCCAGTAAAGGGTGTGAAAATGTGCTCTCTACAAGATAGAAATTGTAAAGTTTGTGAAGTGTTTTTTAACTCGAAACACCTTTGAAGTTGCTTTCTCAGTGCCATTAATTTACTTGTTTACTTGACGGGAGAGAAGAGCATCTATTTTCTTCCGTCAAATGGTGGAGTGTGAGACGCACCTTTGATCAGCGAAAAGGAAGACTTCTAGAGGCCAAGGAATCATAGCTGCTCTATGGAGGTCATGGAAGTAATGATTCCACTTTCCCCCTCACGCTTGGGAGGTTTAACTACATAAGATGTGTGTCTTTTACTGTATGTGGCTGCTTGGCCTGTGTGCAATCCGGATAGAAGTGCCTGTCTTGGGATTTATCTGATCTTTCCTACTGTGAGGATACAATTAGTGATAAAGGCAAAGGTTTCTTTCTCTTGCTGGGATGGGTATGTTCCAGGAGGTCTAGGGGCAGACGCAGGAGGTACTTATGAAAGCATGAGGAGGCTTAAAAAGGGATCGCTGCTTGGTAGACTGGCGCTTGCAGTAGGAAGGACTGCGTCTATAAAATGCACGGCTTGAGAAATGTGCCTTTGGGAAACAAAAGCTGTTAAACAGATTTTCGCTGCATATCAGTGGTGTGGCCAAATTTTGTGTGTGTGTGCTGGTGATAGGAGGGTGTTTCTTTAAATTTTTTTTATTATTATTCTTCAACATTCTTGTTCATATTCTTTGGTTTCTGCTCATGCATTCTGTTCAGGTAATACCTTTCCAGTGTTTGATGGAAACTGCATAGTTCAGCATAGTTTTTTGGGAAAGTAGCATGTGCATCTTATAAATACAAACGCGTTGATATGATGCAGTCAGCTTTTGAATTACACAGAACTATTCGAATGGAAAATCTTAGCCAGAACACCTTGCATTTCATCTGTGTCCTGTAGATCGGAAAGGCATCCAGAAAAGTGAATTTATAAATGATGCTGTTAATGCAAAATTTGGTCTACTAGGATTAATAATCTGTGTTTGGCAGTAGATGATACTAAGTTATTTGTGACCAAGTGAAAGTTTTCAGTGTTTACTGAGTTTGTGTGCAGAAGTTCAGCTATCCACAAGAATTGGTAGCTAATAGTAATGGTTCCAAGGTCCCTGTGTGCATGTTTTTCTCAGTCCAGTGATCACGGTCAGCTAGGCTGTGATTCTTCTGTGATTTCCAGATACCTCTCCTTGCATGTATACACTGTAGCTGAGTGGTTGGGTGGATCCTAAGTTCAATTGACCAGGCACTTTCAAGAGCTCCAATTAGGATTAGGCCTAGGCGATGTATCAATACATCGCCCAGGACCGGTATGAGGAGCAAACCGCAATGTTGGCTTCACTCAGTGATATATCACTGGTGAAACCGCCATCCCACTCTGCCCTCATACTGTGCAGAGGGAGAAAAAAAGCTACACTGGCAAGGTGCTGATACAGCTTGTTCCTCCCTCTGCATCTTTGAACTGCTCGGCTGAGGAGTGTGCGGTTGCCGCTCCCCTCAGCCGAGCAGTTAAAGGATCCCCCAGCCTGGCGCTGACTCCTGCGCAAGCGGGGGGAGCACCAGGGATGGCTCTGCCAGCTGAGCCGTACAAACAAGCTGCCTTGTCCCAGCCCGCTAGGCGCTGGGGTGAAACTGTCTCAGCTCCGGCAGTGAGAGCTGTGGCAATTTCACCCGGTCTGAAGCCAATGCAGCTTGTTTTTTCAACATCGTGGTATATTGCCAGACCACAGTGTTTCGCTGGTGATATATCACGATGTTGAAAAGCTGATATTGCCCAGCCCTAATGGGGAATATATTAATATTAGGACCAAGGGACATAAAGAAGCAAAGCATTGCTTTTAAAAGGGGTGAGAATGACAGTGTGGCACTTGTTCAAAAGAAATCCTATAGCAGCTGTTCTGAGGTACATAGCAGAGTATCCTTCTACAGGCTCAGCCTGGGTTCAGTTGGTGAAAGGGGGCAAACAAAGCACTGCAAGGTCATCCATAATAAAGGCAAACTCCAAAACCACAATATTTTAATGGCATGACTCCCATGTGATTTTGGAGAACGAATAAGAATCCAGTCAGTGAGGATTTTGATTATCTGGGGTTCTCGTTCTCTCTCTCTCTCTCTCTCTCTCTCTCTCTCTCTCACACACACACACACTAAGAGAGAGAGAGAGAGAGAGAGAGAGAGAGAAGTGGCAATACTTAGCACCTTGTTGAGTTTGTGATGTTTTTCTTCCGATATGTAGGATGATGCAAACACTGTGTGTGCATTTTATGAACGGAAGATGTCTGTGGGCAGAGAAGGGGGGTTCTGAAGAGAAGCAGGGGGTTTGGGCCTTTGTGTTTGTTACACTGGCTATTTAGCAAATTATATGCTAGCCCAGGTTTTGTAGCCAACACAACTGGGAGGCATATTCACAGCTCTTTGAAAACTTTTTTTAAAAATTAAGCAGCATATAGATAAATGACTAATAATAATAGTAACTACTAGTTTGACAGTTTTTTTTGTAAATTCATACAGTGGTACCTCGGGTTAAGAACTTAATTCGTTCTGGAGGTTCGTTCTTAATCTGAAACTGTTCTTAACGTGAGGTACCACTTTAGCTAATGGGGCCTGCCACGCTGCCGGAGCACGATTTTTGTTCTCATCCTGAAGCAAAGTTCTTAACCCGAGGTACTATTTCTGGGTTAGCGGAGTCTGTAACCTGAAGCGTCTGTAACCCGAGGTACCACTGTACTTAGATTTTTAGATGCATAACTAGGGATGTTTCAGATAAACCCCTAAAAATGTAGTGCATGAATTGGCTTTGCTGCACTCATTTCCTGTATGCTAGAAATCATTCCACTATGTATGGGAGTTTATGACTAAGGTGGGGATTCCCACACAGCATTCCTACACATGGGAAAAAATGTGTCACTTTGTGTTTATGTGAAATAAATATATTTTGCCCCTACATGTTATCACTTGACACTTGTTTACATAGAATTGCTTTTGCCGTTTTTTTGCCACCCATTCAGTCGGTTTGGAGAAGTCATTTTGGAGCTCTGTGCAGTCCCTTTTTGTTTTGATGACCCTGAGCAGTTTTGTACCATCAGCAAATGTGGCCACCTCACTGCTCAACCCAACCGTGGATCATTTAGGAACAAGTTAAAAAGCACAGGTCCCAGTACTGATCCTTGGTGGGTCAGCACTCCACTTTCAACATCCCTACATTGGGAGAACTATTTATTCCTGCTTCCTGTTGTTTTAACTAGTTCCTATGTGACCTGGAACACCTCTGGTATGCTTACTGAAACTCTCAGAGAACTCAAACAGGTTTGTGAGACAGTACTTGCCCTTTAAGAAGCTATACTGGATCTGTTTCAGCAAGGCTTGTTCTTCTGTGTGGTTGGCTATTTTATCTTTAACAATACTTTTCGCCAGGTTTCCCAAAAATGATGTTGAGCTAACTCACCTGCAATTTCCATTAACCTCCCTCTCCCCATCCCTGATCCTTTTTTGAAAATTGGTGTTGCATTGGGCACTTTCCAGTCCTGAGATATAGAGGCTGATCTTAGCGACAAATTACATTTTTTTTGTTAGAAGATCCAGCAATTTCCCCTTTGAGAGGTTCTTTGAGAACTCTTCAGTGGATACCATCTGGAACTGGCAATTTGTCAGTTTTTATTTTGTCTATTCTGCCTAGAACTTCATCTCTCAACACCACTGTTTGCCTCAGTTCCTCAGACACCCTTCCTGCAAAAGTTAGTTCAGGCACAGGAATCTTCCATTTATCTTTCCCTGCGAAGATAGATGCAAATAATTAATTCCGCTATAATCGCCTTATCTTCCTTTGGCATTGGAACTTTGGGAAGTAGCTAAACTTTTGGATGACAAAAGAGTCAGAGGTGTGCTAAGGGGACAACTTTGTTGGATACGATTCCTTATTAATTATGTTTTGTTTTGAAGAACTACTTTGTGAAGAGGAACTTTCTTTTATCTGCCTCAAATCTTCTGCCAATCAAATACTTTGAATCACGTTCACCATTTTACTGCCTGCTCACCCTGGAAATATTCTTTGGGGAGCTGTTTGCCATTGAACAGGTTTTCATCGTCCTGAATAACAGATGTTATCTGCAGGCTTGGGTACAACATTGCTGACCCCTTACTCCAAATATTTAGGTGTGTTTTTTATATATATAAAAAATCTGTCTTCTAATCCATAGAAGGACACATCCTATCCCACAACTTTTGTCAGGAAATATTATCCAAACCATTGCAGAAACAGAAATACATAACGTCTACATTGTTTCTGTTGATATGTATGCCTTTAATCTCAGAGTATTTGAAAAGATTAGTAAGGCAGAACCTTTCCTTAGAGAAACCATGTTGATATCCTCCAGAAACAGACTGAAAGGGGAAAGGGGAGGCATTGTGTAGGACCCCTCAAAAGGTTCAGAAGAACATCAGATGATGTACTACTTGTGTACTATTAGTTACTTAGATAGGCAAAGGTTTTGTAGTACAGTAGTTGCTATAAAGTTCTGATGGCCTGAATTTATGGCTGGGTTTTGTTTTAACATGGAACAACAGGATTCAAAAGCCAAACTGTTTCTATACAGCACACAATTAAGCACATTATAGCACATCCTTTGACATTTTTTTTTACAAAGAACTCATAAAATTGTCTTTGTTTAAAGTTTTAACTTGGAAGGAAAGCCTCATAGAAATTGTGTGTATGGCTGTTCCTAGGAATTTGAAAGCACCATACCCACCCCTGTCACTTGGAAATTGATGAATCATTATTATTTGTGCTTGTCATCAAAGGGTTGTGTGTTTCTTTTATACCTGTCTAATAATCCTGGGTTAAGTCTTTTTAAATTGTACTCCTGAGACCAACAGTGGAGGTTTCGTTTGTTAAATTGCGTTTTCTCCCAAAAGGAAAAATCATCCGGAGTATCTTGTTGCTAGTGGTGGTTTCCATTTGACTTTTTCTAATACAGACTGCATAGTATAACACAGGGGTCAGCAAACTTTTTCAGCAGGGGGCCAGTCCACTGTCCCTCAGACCTTGTGGGGGGCCGGACTATATTTTGAAAAAATAAATAAAATGAATGAATTCCTATGCCCCACAAATAACCCAGAGATGCATTTTAAATAAAAGGACACATTCTAGTCATGTAAAAACACGCTGATTCTTGGACCGCCCACGGGCCAGATTTAGAAGGCGATTGGGCCGGATCCAGCACCCGGGCCTTAGTTTGCCTATCCATGGTATAACACCATTGTCATCCTTAACTACTTTTTATTAGTAGCAGTAAAGCTTTTGTTTCTTTCTTTACTAAGTACAAAAAAATTGAATTTAGCTAGTAAGTCGTGTAAACACAAGTAAGGCTTGGAACAGACTCGTTGCGTGGACATTACAGATGCGATGCTGAGAAAGGGCTGTTACACTGAGTGTAGAGAAAGGAAGTATCTGAGTTGAATGCAAAGCTCCTCCTTCCTTCCTTCCTTCCTCTTACTACGTAATCAGCCCAGTATTTCTGTGTTGTGTGTTAAAGAGTATTTTATATAAACCGAAATCGTTTGCATTTTTGTGTACTTGAGAAAATTGAACTCTGCATGACACTTAGTGGAATTTTGCTTTTGTTCTCTTCTTCCTGTAAGTTGCATGTCTTTTTTCTTTTCTTTCTCTTTTTTATCTCCCCCCCCCCCCCCGTAAACCGATCTTCTCATTCTGTGTAGGATCTTTGGCTAAGGTTGTGCCCTGCATAGCCAACTATTGCCTCTGCCTCCTTGGCCCAACAGCAAGCCTACTTTGAGTCTTTCCTAAGTCCATCTCATTCCTTAGTATGGTGACACTGTTCCCCAGGGCCATTTATTCCTGCTTCAGCATTCTCTTTTCCTCCTGTCAACACTGACTCATTACTTAGGGAATCTTGTATGTTATATGCATTTTCAGAGGTTGTTTAACCTCAGCCATACTTAAGGTAGGGACCATTCCTCAACCATACCCAGTTGAGGACATGCTCTGTTCCCTGGTTCAGTCTTTGGTATCTGCAGCTTTTTATAAAAGGGAGGATGGGGGAATTAGGCAACAGGTTCTGGGAAATACCTCTGCCATTCCTCCTCAGAGTACAGAATAATGGGCTTGGTAAAGGGAACCTTTGACCCTCCTTTGTCGCCATTGACCATGTTGGCTGATGGGACTTGTTGTTCCAACAACATCAGGAAGACCACAGATTCTCCATCTCTGCACTAGATGGGCAAATAGTCTGAACAGAAATAAAGCCTTTTTCTATGTTCCACCTTTTATTCTGCCCTTTTCTATATTTATAACAGAAATGTTACAAGGAACTTTCTTGAGGGTAAGAGCTGAGGAACAGAATACAGTGGTACCTTAGGTTACAGACGCTTCAGTACAGACTCCGCTAACCCAGAAATAGTACCTCGGGTTAAGAACTTTGCTTCAGGATGAGAACAGAAATCATGGTACAGCGGTGTGGCGGCAGTGGGAGGCCCCATTAGCTAAAGTGGTACCGCAGGTTAAGAACAGTTTCAGGTTAAGAACGGACCTCCGGAATGAATTAAGTTTTTAACCTCAGGTACCACTGTACATTGGAATACCTTCTTTGGAAGTTTTAGGCAGAGGCTAGATGGCCATCTGTCAGGGATTCTTTAGCTGTCATTCCTGCATTGCAGGGGGTTGGACTAGATGACCCTTGGGATCCCTTCCAATTTTGCCATTCTAGGATGCTGTTGCTGCCAGCTCCTTCCTAGAGCAAAGGTTTGAGATGCATTTGTATGTGTGTGTGCTTCCTGTTAACACAGAGCACAAGGAATGTCACCCAAAGCAAGACATTTTCCTAGTAAAATTTCTCAGAGGGTTCTGCAGCTCCTTTTATTAACATCCATTCCTTGCTTGCATCCTCGCTGTCTGAACACCAGTTTATAGCTTTTGTAATATGCAAGTCCAACTGTCAGATGATAAGCTCATCCCTCATTGAGTCTTCTCTCAGTAATATGGCATTTGACACATGCTTTTGTGTCATACCTGGTCTCCTCTGTGCCACCTGGATTGCTGGATTGGTGCCCTCCTTGCCTGGATTGGTGCCTTCCCTGCCTCCTGTGCAGTTCTGGAATGCAGCTGAATGCTCGGCACTTAAACCTTTTAAGTGCTAATTGCTTAGTAATGAAATATTTAATTGCCAAGCAATTAACTTTTACAGGAAAGTGGCTGGTAGAAACTGTCTGTTCTGATGGAGGTGTTTAATAACTTGAGGTTCTCATAACCTGGCCTTACCTGGCCAAAAACATGTGTGTGCTTGAATAAGAGACACGATGGGCAAAACGTCAGTTTTGGAGCATAGTATAGTAGGGATTCATTTTAAAATGGCATTTTCCAGTTGTGATTTTAGTAAATTTTAGGCCACTGTGTCATTCAATCACTGTCGTTGGGTGGCAAACCCATACTACTGAATCAGCTCGAGAGTGCTAAACTTTTGCTTGTGACTTTCATATGTATAAAACCTGTGGTCTACTGCTGTGCATGCACAGGAGTCTGGAGACAATTTCAAGATGCCTTCTCCACGCCAAAGTTTTTGGAGCTGGAGGAGAAGAGCAAGGGGTTGATTTGGTGCTGGCTGGCAGAAGTCTTCCAAGTCATCTACAACCTTTCTCTCTAGCTTGCAGGTAGAGAAACGGGCAAGGATACTTCCACTCCCTACACCAGTGTTTCTCAAATGTGGGTTCCCTACATTAAGCCGACAAAGATCACAACTATGGAAACCATCACCTGTCTGTCCCCACCTCCAAGGTAGAAGCTGAGACTCTTCTTGTGCTCGCCAGAAAGTGAGGAAAGACTTTCCATGAGGAGTAGAAGCAGGACCTCTTGATAATGTCTATTTCACTTATTTTTTAATAGAAATGTTAAACATAAAACCATGCAATAAAACTTTTAAGATCGGAAATCAGCTGACTATTGTGGAAAGATGTTTTCTCAGTTGCCTGCATAAGCCTGGCAGAATAGAGAGAATAATGTTGCACTGCAGTCATGCTAGTTGTATTTCTAGCGCGGGAACAGCCGACATGATTCCCTTCGTAAGTTGTCCCCAGTGGTTCACCATAGTACACCTGCTCATGGGGGATTTGCTGGTGCTTTTGAGAGATGGGTCTTGCTTGGGTCATGTATTTCTTTGGTAGGATGACGTCCCTCCTGCCTAGTCTTTCAATGGCAAGCCTTGACTGCAAGGGTAAGAATGCAGAGTTTGAAAATGTGATTGGGATGTAGAAAATCATCTCCAGAGCAGTATAATCAGAAAGCTGGGGTTCCTTCAGAGTTCTGTAATTCTGCATGCACTTGGGTGACTTAAAAGCTTCTGGTTCCAGTTAGTTTTAAGCAAGTGAACTGTGGACAGGATTGTAGCCTTGACGTTCACAATACCTACAGGTACACTCTTCAGAGTATTCTATAAATAGCACCACACTACTTTTGATTCATTCCAAAATGCAGAATCTGTTGTGTTTGTTACGTTTTTCAGATTGCAGCTGGCAATATGACATTTCAGGTAGTTAGATGGAAGGAGTGGAATCCAAAGAGAAGCAAAGCAAAAACTCACTCATTTCTCAGAGCTGTTCGTAATATTTTACCTAGGATTATTGTTGGCATCCGTCTGTCTTGGGAGACAGTAGAAGAGTGTGCCTTCGGGAGTAAAGTCAAACAGTTGGAGAGTTACAGCACCTGTTGTGGCTGTAGAGACCGATAAAGGAGAGACATGTTTTATTGCAGCTGGGGCAGATGAAGGCATCTAGTTGTGATTCCTCCCAGCGGTCATTCTTCCTCTGGTCACTGCTACAGATACACGACCTGACTGTCTTTCATGAGGCAATGAGATAATCTGCAAGTGATTCCCATTTGGTGGGGTTAATATATAACCTATAATTTGAATGATTAGCATTTAAGTAGGACTTCTAAAATGTTCAGCACTCTTCACCTTTGTTTCCTGCAATCCTTAACAACAGCCTTGCAAGGTATTATCACTGTGCTGATTTATTCATTTTAAAAATCTCTTAATCTAGGAAGGACAAGTTTCAGTAATCATTTCAATATATTTGTATGTGAATGAATGCAAAAGTATGAAGAAAAAGTTGTTCTTTCTTCGTTCCTAGCTATTGTGGTACATGTATGAATTGGAGGCCTTTCTACCTCGGTGTGTGAGAAAAGGACAAAATCTTCTCCAGGCCCCTTTAAAAAGCTGCTGTTTGAGAGAAAAAGTTGCATATCCAGTTAATTGGGGATATTATTTTAGTTTATTGGTCTTGCCAGTAAGTTATGTAATGTTGGAATCCTATTCCTGAGAATAAGCCCCACTGAACACAATAGGATTGGCTTCCAGTAACCACGCTTAAAATCAGGCCTATTACAGTGGTACCTCTGCTTACGAACTTAATTCGTTCTGGAGGCCCGTTCTTAACCTGAAACCGTTCTTAACCTGGCGCGCTTTCGCTAATGGGGCCGCCAGTGCGCAACTTCCGTTTACATACCAGGGCAAAGTTCGCTACCAGGAGCATCTACTTCCGGGTTAGGAGCTCGTTACCAGAAGCGTTTGTAAGGAGGACGGTAGATAACCCGAGGTCCACTGTACAGGGTTTCATCCAAAGTCGTTTCATTTCCTCTCCTTCCCCTGCAGCCCCCCACATCAGCGTCAATGGGCACACAGGATGGGAGCTGGAAAGGAGAGGAAAGTTCGTTTCTTCTAGTGCAAGTCTCTTGTGCTAGTAAAACGTTGGAGACGGCCCACCACGAATACAAACATGTCACAAATGTCATATTTCGAGGTGGACACAATTGTAGACACTATAATAACATGTGAGAATCTTCCTTTTTCATTAAGTGCTATGTCTCACAGTGACCATATATTTTGGTCTTGGATATGATTAAGCTTCTGTAGAATTACAAATGGTTAAAAGGAACCACTGGGTCATATGGTTTAACGTCCTGCAATTCAGCCTGTATGTAATGTGTGTACAGCAGTCTTCACATTTTTCTCTTGAGAAGTCTCACAGTTCTCTGGAACACAGTGTGAATACTGCTGGTTTAGCTAGTGGGGGAAAAGAGATGGTCCGTCCCCCCGAACGCTGATTGAAATAAAATCTCTGACTTCTAAACAAAAGGGCAAGAATTCTGTGGAGTACTTTTTACCTACGATGCGGGGAGTGATCATTCAAAATAGCTGGATTAAAAACAAAACTGAGAATGAATTTCTGGATGGAGTAGAATCTGTCACTTAATACAAGAAATGGGAAGACTAAATACATGTGTTAATATTTATAACTGTAAGACTCTTTGTCGCTTGAGTTTGGTTTTAGATGTAAGCTGTCAATATTTTGCTATCCGCACAGTTAGGAGCAGTGCCAGCCTTTCTGTCAAATGACACACGTGGCATTTCATCAAGTCTAGTCATCTGTTTTTAGCATGAAGAATGCTACTCACAACTTGGATGAAACAGAACCATCAAGAGTGTCTTTGCACAATTTTTATAGTAGCAAGATTTTCGTCCCCAAAGTATACTAGACACCACTGTTGTTGCTCTTTGAATGAATTGCTTAATTCTGCTATGAAGCTGAATGTAAATTTCACATCACTTGCTGTTTTTATCCCAAGTAGCATGGAAATTGGTTTTCATTGCATGTATATTTGAATGCATGCATGTTCAAGTTTCAAAGGCAAGCAGTTACCTTGATTTTTCTCCCTTACATTTCCTAGGATTACCGCATTTTTCGCCCTATAGGACGCACTTTTTCCCCTCCAAAAATGAAGGGGAAATGTGTCCTATGGGGCGAATGCAGGCTTTCACTGAAGCCTGGAGAGCGAGAGGGGTCAGCGCGCACCAACCCCTCTCGCTCTCCAGGCTTCAGGAAGCTATTGGCAAGCCTTGGGAGCCCGCGGGAGTTCCTGCCGGTCTCCCAAGGCTTGCGGAGAGCTGCCTGCATTCCGAAGCCTGGGGCGCGCTGAGAAGCGCGCTCCGGACTTTGGGCAGCTCTCCGCAAGCTGTGGGAGCCTCGCGCGAAGCTGTGCTGGTCTCCCAAGGCTTGCGGAGAGCTGCCTGCATCCCGAAGCCCGGGGCGCGCTGAGTAGTGCACCCTGGGCTTCAGGCAGATATCCGCAAGTCTGGGGAGACCGGCGCGACTTTCCGCCGGGCTCCCTAGGCTTGCGGATAGCAGCCTGTTCTGGGGGCTGGGGTCTGGGGGCCCCAGCCCCGCGCCTCGGGGGGAAAATATATTTTTTTTTCTTTATTCCCCCCCAAAAAAACTAGGTGTGCCCTATGGGGCAAAAAATACGGTATGTCCATCAGGCTTTGTAACAAGCTTCAATTTCTAAGTGTCTTTGGCAGTCATACTACATGGAAACTTACACATGGCCTGCTCTTAATCTATAATCCTTGATAATTTGGGGGAAGATCCGATAGATTATTCTGCTCTTACCATAAATGCTTCATGTATAGGTTTAGCCTGAAGCATTCCAGTATCATCAAGGAATAGGAACAGTTGCTCAAGTAGTGAAGGACTCCTGCCAATCCAGAGTTCTGATGAGTAACTATCATATTTGCAATAAAGTGTATCATACTGTGTTCACAGTGTGCATCCATAGCTTTTCTTTTCTGATTTGCTTTCAACACAAAATGAGTGGAGTTTGTATTAAATGATCTCCTTCCCCACAGGTGTTCAAACGGGACCCTTTGGTAGTTCCCTCACCCCCAAAAGCTCAGGTGGGGGGTGTTCTGGGAGAGGGCCTTCTTCGTGGTAGCCCCATTGTGGTACTACCTCCTCACAGAGATGTGTCTGGCATCTTCATTGTACAGCTTTTGGCAAATGCTGCAGACACACTTCTTTACCCCGGCTTTTGACACCAGGGGTGTCAGGACTTACCTTATTTCTGTGATTGTAAGTTGTTCTAAACTGTTTTTAATGTTTTGTTTTAATTGTAGCCTGCCCTGGGACCTTAGAGTGAAGAGCAGGTGATAAATTATAATAATAACAACAAGTAGATTGATAGTTTTACTCATTTTTCGCAGAATCATTTATTGTGTTCAAGTGGCTAGATTCAACAGGGAGTGCATCACAAGGTGTCATAGGAAGCAGTTGAGTTGCTTACAGGTAAATATTTGCCTTTTTAGAGGCTTTGGGTTTGTGTCATTTTTAAGTTGTGATGCTGCTTATTATTTTACATATTTTATGAGAATTATTTTTAATGTTCTTGCTTATATGTGTTTCATATTGCTTATCTTGTTGTAAACAATTACTGTGACCAGTTTTGGTGAAGGGCTGTGTATCTTTTTTAAAATTTTATTTCAGTTTGTATGCATGCCCAAAGCGACTTGCAACACAACAAAAATGCAATTTAGTACATCCTTACAATCACACTTGAATACTAGTTCCGTTGAGAACATAATGACAATCCAAACAACTCACTTTGCTAATATAAATGTTACGACATTTTAAATTATTATAAAACAAGCCATTAATCATTAACACATCAATTTTTATCAAGGACATATTACATACTATCAATAAAACCAGCGGACACTGCCTGTTAGTACTATATCAAATGATTTAAAGGTAACAAAGTGTGGAATTCTTTTTTTGAAGGCTAAAAATTAAAGTGCACACAGTCCCTATCAGTTTGGTCCTATTTTATGAAATGCATAGCAGTTAATAAATTTGCACTAGAAAATGCCTAAAGAGTCTAAAAGTTAAAGTACTTCATAGCAGCTCGATCATATACCATAAGTCTCTTAATACTCCTCACAGGGAGCTGCCCTCCTGCCAGCACTAAATGGCTTCAATCACCTCCTCCATTCTGTCCTCTCTAGGGCTGGGCAATATCTGGTTTTCAACTTCGCGATATATCACCAGCTAAATAGCACAATATAATGGTAGATCACAGTATCTGAAATAAGGGTGGAGCTATATAGAGGCATTGGCTGGCTTCACGGTTTGCCCCACATTGTGATTTTTGCATAGTGCACACATTGTGATTTGCAATATATTGCCAGGTCAAAAACAATGAAACCGATAACATGATATGGACTTCAAAACCAGTTTTGGATGATAGATTGATATATTGCCCAGCCCTAGTCCTCTCACTGCTGATTCCTATTGAAGGCATCAGGTATGCACCCTAGGTTTTTGTGGTTACAAGAAACCAACCTGCTTCTCCCATGGGGAGACCCTACACAACACCCCTCCTATCCCTGCCTCCCCTGCAGAGAGGGGAATCTATGCCAATACAGTGGTACCTCAGGTTACAGACGCTTCAGGTTACAGACTCCGCTAACCCAGAAATAGTACCTCGGGTTAAGAACTTTGCTTCAGGATGAGAAGAGAAATCGTGCAGCAGCAGCGGGAGGCCCCATTAGCTAAAGTGGTACCTCAGGTTAAGAACGGACCTCCAGAACGGATTAAGTTCTTAACCCGAGGTACCACTGTACAGTAAGGACAGTGCCCCTGCCCCTCACTCCTCCCCCAAGGGATGACCCCGCTGTCCCTTCAGGGGACACCTTCCTCCAACCTGGCATTCTCAGGGAAGTATCTCAGGTGTTGCTGGTCAGGAAACCCCAAGGGTTAGTGTTACTTCCCTGAGCTGCCAAAATGTTCTCACTGCCCTTAAAGCCCTGCCAGTCCTCAGCAGTGCAGATGTTTCAGAAACAGGGAACGAACCATAATAAAAACCACCCGCCACCCCAGCTGAGAAGTTTCAGCCCCCGCTGGCAACTGTCAAGAGTTGCTGCTGCTATAAATCATTGAGATTTTGGTGTTTACGCTCTTGTGATCTATACCACACAACTCTGAAGGTCAGGAAGAACATTAGTACTTGTTGTCCTTCCTTGCGGGAAGAATGTGCCTGAAGGATCTCTCGCCCCCTCCACAGCTTATGCTAAGAAGGAGCAAGGAATAGTTGGGCCTTGCAAAGATCTGTGGGTACTTCAGCCATTTACATAGATTAACACTGGGGGATAATCTATAAAAGCTTCATTTATAGGGCTAGTCAGCTATGGATTTTGTTCGTGGTGTGTTAATATACTTGGACTTAAAACAAAAGGGATAAGTCAAAGTGCATTAACAAACCACAAACAAAATCCATAGCTGGCTAGGTCTATAAATAAACTGTCGCAGTGACTGCACAGCTTTTGCTAAACTGTTGCTCCTTTTCACTTTGGGGTGCTTGGGTGATCAGCTCGGCAGTTGCTCTGTTTGCAAATATCTCAGCTCTCAAATGGCTCCGTTTTCGAATGTTTCAGCTCCCGAACACTGAAAACCCGGAAGTAAATGCTCCAGTTTCCAACGCAGCTTCCGCTTGAGTGCAGAAAGCTCTTGCAACCAGTCGGAAGCCGCGCCTCAGTTGTCGAACGTTTTGGAAGCCGATTGGGCTTCTGGAATGGATTCTGTTCGACAACCGAGCTTTGACTGTACTTTTGCTGCCCCAACAACGGTGTATTTGAAGTGGGACTGAGTAACAGAGCCACGATGCTTCTTGGTCATAGCCAAAGATCTGTGGGGTGGCAACGTTTGCCACTGGCAAAAATCTATATTCAGTTCCTGGAATATAAGCTCACTGTGCCTCTGCTGAATAAAGGACTTGGATGTTGCAACAACTTTGAGGCCTGAGGGAAATAGAGGTACAGATGGCATGTGCAGGTGGGAGAGCAACTGCGGATATATGAGAGAGAGAGGACTCAGCAAGTCATGGATATACCTGTCTAGAAGTACGTGCAGCCCTGCTGCTTTGTCTTGAGCTTCTCCAGGCTGTTCTTCGCACAGTGAACTTAACATTGCACAGCTGACAAACTCAGTTGCTTGTGTTGTAGTTTTCCATACACTGACTGGAGATGCCCCTTTGGGCTTCCTCTTTTCACACTCTTGCTTCAAAGCATGCATCTTAGAGGCAGTCTGTGTGTACATGTGTCTGTGTGTGCTTTAAAAGCGGTTATTAAAAACTAAAGGGTGTAATTCAGTATTCATAGAATCAGACCTGGAAGGATCATCTAGCCCAAATCCCTGCAGTGCGGGAATGTTTCGCCCAACATGGGGCTTGAACTCACGATCTTGAGATTGAGTCTCCTGCTCTACCAATTGAGCTATCCTGTTGCGCTAACACTACTGTTCCACCAGCACAGGCATTGCTGCTTGCCCCATGGAGCGATCTCCCCTCTCCTCCCCCTCTGCACTGTTCTAGGGTTCCTCCCAACCACCCTGAGTGGATTTGGGGAAGGTGCGGGGAGAGAAGACAGAGGAACGCCTGGTTAGAGTAGCAGGAGTCCTTCCTCTGGCTTCCACTAGCGCACTGGGTTAGTTCAATCCAGCCCTATGTGTTGCCTTTTCACATCCATTTCAAGTGGAGTTCAACAACAGTGGGTGTGTTCACACGTGATGATAATCCAGCTCCTGCTTTGCTTCTCTGCTGGCGAATGCAGGATAAACGAAGCCTTGGCTTCCTGTTAGGTCTAAACCCAGGGATTGCGGGCTTTTTCCTTAACAAGCCACAGTTTCTACCCAGACTTTAGCTCAAATTGGACATGGAACATAAAAATGCAGATTATTCGCCACCCACTTCTGGTTCATGCTCCTCGTCCTCTACATTTGCTACTTTGCAAATCCTCTCTTTGCATTTTCATCCTTCCTTTTTGAACTCTATTTTCCCGCTCCTGAATGCATGTACTCTCATGTGTCTGTTACAGAAGTGAGCAACTTATTCAGCACCAGATTAGAAATCTGCATATTTTAGATGCCTTTGAGCATGATTTACATATTTTCATGAATGTGACAGATGTTGAAGTATAGTTGGTAGACATATGGCATTTAACCTAAAATATTATTCTGAAATTGTTATCCACGACTGTGAACAACATTGAATCAGCTGTTATGTCTTCCCTCTTCAGGCATTTCAGAATGCTTCTGCGAAGGAAATTCTCTTCCCACCTCTGCCATCAGGTCATGCCAGATTAGTTCCTTTTTCACTTTTCATATCAATCTCAAACCAGGAGGTTTATAATTGACAATATAGGAACAGAATCTATCATTCATATAGCATTTTTTAAGCACACTAACAAACTGTGAAATCACCACGTGGTTCTAAAATTTGAAACAGTCTGTAGCTTTCTTGAAACTGAAAGAGAATCAAAATCGTACATTGAACATTTGAATAAATTTAACTTTTGCCACATCAAAGGTTGGAAATATGCAGCAGATCCTATGCACCTGCTACATAATTGGGAATATTTATATTTTTTATTTCCCTTTTTTTATTGGGGGGGGATTATATACTGCTGGCTGGCATGTACTGTGGGTGCTGAAAGGATTGGCTTGATTGCCTCTGTGATCTTCATTTGAGGCCCTTTTTTCTGTAGTTCCCCTGTGAGAGGTCTGGAGGGTGGAAACACAAGAATGGGCCTTTTTTCCGGTGGCTCCCTGTTTGAGGAATGCTCTCCCCAGGAAAGCTCACCTGGTGCTTTCATTACATATCTTTAGGTGCCCAGCAAAAATGTTCCTCTTCAACCAGGCCTTGGGCTGATAAGTATTCTACAGCCTTTGGGATGTGTTTGGAGGGGTTTTGCTTTATTTTTGTTTTAACTATTTGTTTTGTGCTTTTAGCCTGTATTTTTATCTTGTGAGCTGCCATGAGCTCTTCGGATGAAGGGCGGTATATAAATTTAACAAATAAACAAGTAAATACAATGCTGTGCCCAGAGGCTTTGCAAGTCTTTGGGTCACCTTCATAAGCAACCCCTTTTTATGCTGGGTCAGACTATTTTGTCCGTCTAGCCCTGGACAGTCTCCATTGATGAGCAGAGGTCCTTCCCTCCACCTGCAGCCTGATTCTTTTAATTGGCAGCTCCAGGGATTGAATTGTGGACACTGCGTGCAAATCCATGTGCATCAATAGCTCAGTTGGTTAGAGCATTGCAGGGGGTTGGACTAGATGATTCTTAGGGTCCCTTCCAACTTTTACCACTAAGGCAGAGGTTTTCAACCTTTTTGAGTCCACGGCTCCCTTGACCAACTACATTCTTTCTGTGCCACCCCTGTGGGGCTCAGGAGCCCAGTTATGTCACCCCTTGCCTGTAGAGCTGGCAGCCCCTCACCCCTTTTTGAGCCCCCTCCCTTGTGGAGGGTTCCTTCAGCCTCCTCTCCTCTCCCCTCCTCTCTCCTTGGAAGTCCTCCAGGCAGCTGCCGCCGCCGCCCTTGGTCTCTGAGCTGCCCCAAAGAGAGGTGCCCCTCACACTGCCCCACAGGGGCCTGGGACTTGTCTATGCATACCCAACAGCAAGGGCTGGTAGACCGGCTGGCTGGACTTCCTTGCCTGTTTGCTTGCTTACTCTGAGGCCACTTCAGCTCCTGACAACCAGCTTCCCCTGGCCAGCCACAGAGACACCATTCGCCTGTGGAGCTTATAGCCAGGGCAGCTGCAACAAACAGCCTTGCAAGCCTTTGTGAGGCAGAGATGCAAGAGGGCATCAGAGGAGGGAGGGAGGGAAGGAAAGAAAGAAAGAAAGACAGAGGCCAGTGTTGCCCATGGCCCCCCTGACCTTCATTCAGGGCACCCCAAGGTGCCACGACACACTGGTTGAAAACTGCTGCTCTAAGGTATGATTTCTCCCCAAAGGAACAAGTTTGGATTTTCATGGATTTGGGCGAAGTTCGGTACTGTTCCTAGCTGTTCCTCTCTTGCTTCACTTCACCTTTAATCTGACTATTATTAAATCCTCAGGGTCACTTATCTTCCCATCGGAATAAAGCTTGGTGATTGTGTTATAGCGTCAATGAAAATGTGCTGTTGTCCTTGTGGGTTTTGTGCTTCTGCCAAGCGATTCAAGGCACTACTCACTTGGCCAGAAATTAAGCCTAGCCAGCAGTGCAAAACCCCAAAGGATTTAAATGCTTGCAATTAGAAGTGGGTTCTAAGGGAAGGTGCAAGCCTACCGCAGCAGACTCCTGTGTAAGCGGTGAGCCTGCAACTACTGCCTGCATTCATATGTGCTTGCCTCATGGCCTTAAAATCAAACATTGCAGCAAAGGCAAGCGCTGGGTTTGATAACAGCTTAGCGTGTCCTATAATTTACTGTGGAGTGTGATTGCTTGACAGTGATATAATTGCTAGGATGGGGTCTGCACCCGCAGAGATTCAAGGGACCCATATGTTTGCAGCCACCGTATTCAACAAGAAATAAAATTTAAAAAGCTGCTTACTCTGCATACGCTTGCATTTTTGGTCTGACTGAAAAGATTACCAGCAGGTACGCCAATGGTTATGTGATAGCTGGAAAGATCAGCAGCTCTTTTTGGCACAGATTTCTAGAGCTGTGCAGTGAAGAAACTGCCAATTTCAGAAATGGCCCTTATTCATATCTGTACTTTACTTTGCAAGGGAGGCAAAGACGTTGCTTATTCAAAGTTTTGTGCAATTAGAATGAGAAGCGTGTAGGGAAGGACTTCTGAGAGTTTGGACCTGTAACTTCTTTTTGCATTTTCAGTTAGTTTTTTACAGGATTTTTTATGGACCAGGAGGAGGAGAGACTTCAGTTCCGCTGTATAAAATATTCCAGGTGGTACCTCTGGGTTTTATTCTTCGGTGCCCCAGCGACTAGGGTTCCCCGCCACGTTCCCAACCTGTCTTAAACCATATTCTAGGTCAGGGGGTGCAGAAGACAGATAGATTGATTTATTTGCAGTAAATAGTAAGATTTTCTATCTCTGTTGTCAAGCAGCCTAAAAGCTTCCCCCTCCCAAATTAGGCTGACCAGAAAGAGGGGTGGGAGGGAGCAAACGAACCAGGAGTGGATTTGGGTGTGAAAACGGTCTTGTGAGATTACTTCTCGTACTGATCACAAACTCCTTGGCTGGGCATTTCCTAAATTCTTAGCGGAGCCACTATTTTGCACCTGACTCTGATTGGTGGGTGTCAGTGGAAAACAAGTAGAACCTGCAAACCTAGAGCTTGCCCACTCCTGCTCCAGGGCTTTGTGTCACTCCGACGAGGACTGCTCCACCCTGCTCCACTTTCGCCACTTACACACACCGGGCTTTGCCAGATTCAGCTCAAGGTGGGATACTGCGTGAAAGTCGAATTTTGACAGGTGCCAGGAGAAGCTCCCCCTAAAGCCACGAAAGCCCTCGCCAAATTTAACTTGACAGGTTTACTCATGGTGCCTGTATTTATCTACACAGTTACGTCTATACTAATTATACGCCAATTGGTTTTAAACTTGCCTGTCATGGTTTCCTCAAAGGACCCTGGGAATTGGGAGTGAATTGCCGGGGCCTCCTCTTCATGCCAAGTGCAGCATTTATGTTTTATTATGATAGTTTGAGTGTTTCGCCACCAGGACGCTGGCAGCTCTCCTTAGCCTCACTTGCCCAAATCACAATTGCTAGGAGAGAGGGGTTAGATGGCCAGTGTGTTTACTTCTACACTGTTAATGCACTTGATTAAGTGCCAGGTCCGTGGTGTAACTAGATGATGAATCTTGTCTCTGTACTTTTTGACCTGGGACACATAAGTTTGCAATACTGTTCAAGTTAGGTAAAGGGAAGTAGACGTAATCTTTATGGCCATGCTAGCATTAACTGGGATCAAAACTCAAGAATTGCTGTATTAGATCAGACCAGTAGCACATTCAAACCAGCATTCTCTCCCCTGCCCCTTATTAGCAGCTGCTATTTGTTCTAATAGCCTAACATATCGCCACCTCCAGAGATTTAAAAGCTATTGAACAATCCTGGTTTGGGTTTGATTAGGGACTTTGAAGATGCTGTCACATAAAATGGACTGCAAATTTCATACCTTAGTCCCAAAACAATTAATTGTCCTGGGACATGTAAGCTATGTTTTTCAAAGCTATGGAACAAATCGTATCAATATGATGAAGCCTCAGTTTTGATGCAGTGTGTCCCACTAGGTTCCTGTGGAGGTAGTGCAGAATTCAGTCTGCCACTTGATGTATTGGTGCTGTGCTGTCACCATAAAGGTGTGGTTCTTGAAAGCTTTAAATCATATGCAAAGCATTCCAAATTACGGTGGATTGTATCCAGTGCTTGGTGAGGGGAGTTCCCCCTTACTTTGCTCTATTGTGTGCCCCGCCATGTTCTGTGGAGTCTCACCCAACCCTCTGAAGCAGATTTTGAGGATGCATAGAGAACTGGGGGCGGGGGGGGGGGGCGACAAGGAGTCAGTGATGCAACTGCATCCTAATACGGAATTGCAGGGATTTCAAAATAAAAGAAATTCAGCCGGGGAAATGAGTTTGGAAGCATTCCCGCCCCCCCCCCCCCAAGACAAACAACAGTTAAAAATTTTCTAAACCAAAATATGCTACAGATACTCTTTGCTTGTTTAAACCAATAAATCATAGTTGACCTCACAACATACTTTGTGAACTTGGCTTGTTTCAGCTGGCGATAGTTAAAATTAACCATGGTTTAGGGTTCAAATACAGCACTAAACTGTTGTTAATTGAAACTGGAAGCACAAGTTTCCAATCTTCATGGGGTCATGTCAAAAGAGGGAAGGGGGAGACACAAACTCAAGATTTGAGCATGTAAAAAACCATTGTGTCCAGATTTGGCCGATATGTGCAGAGTAGGAGAAAATAAATTTCATGTTTATTTGCTAAAATGCAGCCTAGAGTTTGGTATTTGTAGAGTTTGGCACATGGTAAATAAGAAATGTGTGTAGGCTTGTCAAGTTGCAATGTTTTGTTTTTTGCCCATTTTAATGGACTTTCATGGTTTAAGAACTGTCTTTCACATTCTGTCATGGGTTCACAGTTTATGGAATTCTTGGTGCAAGTCACTTTAAATGTTCTCCCTCTGTTGAGAAAATGTATTGAATGATCTGCGCCAAGATTGAGATAGCGGAATTGTCCTTCAGCGGAACAGCAACAGGGCTTCAAAATGAGCCACATACTTTTAACAGAAGGAGTTGTCTTTGCCCAGCATTTCTAAAACTTGTTCACCCTTGAGGTCATATTCAAGCAAAAAAAGGGTACAACAGCAGCCTAATCTTTCCAAGCCTAAATGTAGGACGCAACCTTGTCACTGGCCTAATATTAGAGGTTATTCTAAGTAAAGGAGGGGGTGGAGAGGAATAGATTTGTTTCACTTGCCATTGACTTCCTCCAGGCAGTCTAAATATTGTACAGTGGTACCTCGGTTTACGAACTTAATCTGTTTCGGAAGTCCGTTCTTAAACCAAAGCTGTTCTTCAACCGAGACACGCTTTCCCTAATGAGGCCTCCTGCCACCGGTGCCCTTCCACCGTTCAGATTCCGTCCTTAGACCGAGGTAAAGTTCTCAAACTGGGACACTATTTCCAGTTTTGCAGAGTTTGTAAACCGAATCGTTCTTAAACCGGACTGTTCCTAAACCAAGGTACCACTGTACAGTGGTACCTCGGGTTACATACGCTTCAGGTTACATACGCTTCAGGTTACAGACTCCACTAACCCAGAAATATTACCTCGGGTTAAGAACTTTGCTTCAGGATGAGAACAGAAATCGTGCTCCAGTGGCGCGGCAGCAGCGGGAGGCCCCATTAGCTAAAGTGGTACTTCATGGTTAAGAACAGTTTCAGGTTAAGAACGGACCTCTGGAACAAATTACCGTATTTTTTGCTCTATAAGACTCACTTTTTCTCTACTAAAAAGTAAGGGGAAATGTGTGTGTGTCTTATGGAGCGAATGCAGGCTGCGCAGTTATCCCAGAAGCCAGAACAGCAAGAGGGGTTGCTGCTTTCACTGCGCAGCGATCCCTCTTGCTGTTCTGGCTTCTGAGATTCAGAATATATATTTTTCTTGTTTTCCTCCTCCAAAAACTAGGTGCGTCTTGTGGTCTGGTGCATCTTATAGAGCGAAAAATACGGTAAGTACTTAACCTGAGGTACCACTGTACTGATACTTTTCAGCCACAGTTTGGGTTGTTTCCTCCCATATGGAAGAGCCCCCCCCCCCCCCCACCGGATCAAGAAGCTGTAAGATAATAGAAACAGAAAGGCAATATCCCTGTAGTCGTTGGACTTTATTCATTCATTGGAAGGAGAAACAACAGTTTTGGCTTTGTTGTACCTGCACTGCCTCTTTTGAAGATATAGAGGCTTCCATTCTACCTTTCAGCAGATAAAATGTGCAGAGGTTTCAATGGGTGACCAAGGACAAGCTACACATTTGATGCTGTCTCAGGGTGGACCCTGTGCTTTTAACCGAAAGCAACCTTTAATGAAGGCTGTGGGAGAGGGGGGTGGAGTTATGATTACCTGCACCTTTTCCAATTAAGGGCAAAAAAGCACTGGTCTCTTTGAGAGACTTTCCCTCCTGTATTTAAAGGGAAGAGCAGGCTTTTCTGGGTGTCCTCTTCCTATCAGATGTGATGCATGCGTTTGATTGCGACTGATGTACAAAATGTGTGGCAGGCTGCAGGCCTCAAGTGGAAGCTCCTTGAACAAGTGGGGAGCGGCTGCAGAGCCGTTCTTCACCTGTGGAATGCCGGTTTCTGTTCCTCAGAGCCCTGTTGCTTGTCTCTTTCAAAATAGGAAGTTTCCATGTGACACGCTGCATTATTCTGGATGTTTTCTCAAGTGGGTCACAAAACCCTGGAAGGCAAGAGATAAATCCACAAATCATGCAAAAGCTAACCCTGAAGCGCAGAGCTGCAAAGATGCCTCATCTAACCTATCTGATAAACCTTTCGTAGTCTAGCCATCCAAGATGCTGTCTTGTGGGTGGCCGTTTCCTACTTCCAAGTAGGCCCACAAAGTTTCACTATCCTGCCCGCCCCCCACAACACACCTGCATTCTTGATATGTGCCTAAAGATGGTAGAGGGCGAACCACCTTTTTTAAAGTGTACATGCTTCTTTCGTAGAATCATAGAATTGTAGAGCTGGAACATACAGGGATCAAACCTGCAACCTTGGTGTTATCAGAGCAACACTCTAACCCACTGGGCTATCCAGGCTCCAGGCTCTTGCCGCATGCAACCAAGTGAGGTGGCTATTAACAAGCACACCTTTATTCTTCCTGCATGCCTCCGTTTACTATGACTGCCTGGAAGCAACATATTCCCACCCTCCTTCTCGCAGTCTCTGCAGCCCATTTCTGACACAGCACGCAGTTCACTTTCACTCAGGCCCATCGCATTTCCCACAGGGTTTCCGTGGCCCAGGCCACCACCACTCTGTTCCCTTCTGGTGCTTTTTGTGCAGATAGAAGCTCAAATAGATTATGAGCCGGTTTTTAGAGCTTTTTAACAGCATTTATTAAACATGAATTAAAACGACACACTCCAGGATCCCAATTCCCATACGACAACTTAAATTTTTAAAGCAGATTGCCACAAAATAGCTGCTTCTGCTGAAGAGCCGTGTTCGATTATTAACACAGAATGGCATGAAAGGGGGAAATGAGGGTGTTCAGTACTTTTTTCACATATTGTGTTGTGTTTACACAAAAACACGCAGGGCTGCCGTTTTAGCTCACGTTGCCCTCCAACCCTCCTCAGTGCACACCCCACCCTGTTGGCAGCCTCCTGCCCTTTACACCTCACCAGGGCTCTGCCACTCTCTCATGGCAACCCCCTACACCAGGCATCCCTAAACTCGGCCCTCCAGCTGTTTTGGGACTACAACTCCCATCATCCCTAGCTAACAGGACCAATGGTCAGGGATGATGGGAATTGTAGTCCCAAAACAGCCGGAGGGCCGAGTTTGGGGATGCCTGCCCTATACCTTTCCCTTCCCACCCCACACAGCTATCAAGCCCCCTTTTAACCTTCCCAGCCTCACTTCTGGGGTTGCTTCTCTCTCTTATTCTACATCCCTGCTTTGTATCCTTGCATCACCTTCACAGCTGCTCCCCAGTCATTTTCTCTAACCTCCCCACCTTGCATACAGATCACCCCCCATGTTAACCTCCTGGATCTCTCCACCCCCCCCACACTCATTGTAACTGCTGGCTCTCCTCTTCCGCAGCCTGCTTAATACTAGGGGTTTGAACTTCCCCCCCTATTCCCATGTCCCTCCCTCTCTCCTCTTTTCCCAACACCTTGCAAGGCTCCCTGTGTGCAAAGTGGGCTCCTTTGAACATGTGCAGAGTTCCTTTCCTCCCCCTCACTGTGTTTTTATTACACCATCCCGTGGCTGAACTCCTTAGTATACTCTGTGTGTGTGTGTGTGTGTGTGTGTGTGTGTACACATACACACTTATCTATATCTATATCTATCTCTGCTCCTCCCTTCCAGACAAATGCATACTTGCGCCCATCCTTTTCTATCTCTCATAGAAAGAGACAACCAATTCTTCCATTCCGCCCCCCCCCACAAAGTGGGTTTTCCCACTTCTGTGGGAGAACTGCAAGTGAAATATTCTCGTTGGAAACAGAGGTAGATGTGGTTTTAATGAAGTAACTACATCATAAATAGCGTTCACCCAGCTGACGTGATTGAGGTAGCCCACATCTGAGAGAAGAAAGGGAGGCTTAGTAGTAAAGCGTTGGGCCTTTAGCCTTGCGTATAATTATCAAGCTCCTCAGTTTGAAATAAAACTCCATCTTAATGTATCTAGGTTCTTAATTTGACCGAAAAGCTCTCCCTCGCTGAAAGGGTCCGCATTTTTTTCCTACAGGGCAAATGCTTCTAAAACATATCGCTGCCATCTCTTGGTGTATTGTGCGATATTCTCAACCCGTGATATTAAGACATTTTCCTCTTTGTTCTCAGGGGTGGACATTGATCCTATGACGCATGCCCGGAAGAAACAGCTCTTACTTCTGAAACACTCAGCTGGTTCTGCTGGCCAAGCTTTGTCACCGATTGACGGTGAGAGAATGGATAGGACTGAGGCGGAGGATTGCGAGCGAGGCAATGGCGCTGAGGGGCAAACCTGCCAGAGTCGATTTGCAGGCGTGAATAAAAGCAGGAATTTGCAGGAACTCAGAAAGACGTATCCATTGAGAAAACGCCTCAGCTCATCCGTGGATAAAAAAACATGCTCCGTGCTCCTCACTAGATTGGAGGATGTTGCCGGATCCCTGTCGGAGGAGACTCAGAGTGGGATGAAGAGAGGTCTCGCCCATTGTATGGATGACTTCAGACCCGCCTGCCTTCCGGATCGCGTTCAGGTCGTGAGAGCAGCGAAGCAAGAGCCATCTGCAGGGAGATGCACAATATCGTGTTCTGGGACCGGGCAGCAGGGAAGCAATACTTGTCTTGCAGAACCCAGGAAGCGCAGGCTAGCCTCGCTGAACGCAGAGGCAGTCAACAACCTGCTTTTCGAACGGGACGATGGCTTAATAACCGGCCGGCGTTTCCGGAAAGATCCCCCCAAAGTCGGCGGAGTTTGTTGCACTAAGAATATATGCTGCAGTACTCAGGGCGCTTGGCCCTCAGTGGAAAAGCAAAGCTCCAAGGCAGCAAAGGGAAAGAACCAAAACCGACCGAGTCCGAAGTGTGCTCCTCAGCCGCTGGATGGTGTCGTTGACGGGAAAGGGCGGGAGGATGGCGGGATTTCCTACCACCCTGCTCCAAAGAGATTGGCCAGTCTCAACGCCGCGGCGTTTCTGAAACTGACCCATGAGAAAGACCAGCCGCTGAAGCCCAGGAGTAAATCCACTGGTGAAAAAGAGAGCAAGCCTGAAAACCACGGTTCCAAATCCAAGCTCAAATGGGCCAAAGCCAGTGGGAAAAACTGCGTTAAATCCAAAAAGGAAACGTCCACTGTAAAAATAGAAGGTCATCATAGCTGGCAAGGAGTCGCTGAGGGCGTATTTACAAAACCAGCCCATCATGATCCTCCTAGAATTTTGGGGGAAACGGAGTCTGTCAGTTACGAGCCGCTACCTAACTCTTGCGAAGGCCCGGAGGGTTTCTATCACAGACTGCCTTTGCTCATGGGTGGGCAAGCCTCTATGAAACCTGAATATGGAAGACCCGGAGAGAAATCTCCGACTCCCAAGCAGGAATTTCATCAGCCTTCCTTCCCAGTACCTCAGTTCCACCCTTTGCCCGTGCCAGGAAACCATACGGATTGTGGCTGCCTCTACGAATCGTCGGACTTGACTCCATTGAATGGGTTTTATGTTTATTATGGCCAAAGCGGATACAATGATTACACTCACTGCTCTGTTTACCCGAAGGATGAGCTGTCCCAGGCGACGGGTTGCGAGGGGCTTTTGGTATCTCCGGGTTCTTTACCGCCAGACCCCTCGTTCCAGCCATTTCACTGGTGTAGCTCTCCCTACTGTTGTGGGGAAGGACCGGCAATTAACAGTTACAGCCTTTGTGGAGTTATGCACGTACCCGAGAGCAGAATCAGTACTGTGCATGCAGGGCGGAACTGCTACCCTTATAAGATGCCTTTTGCAGCAGGTAAGTCTGAAATGGGATTACCCCACGCCTTAAAAAAAGAAAAACTTGGCTGCTCATACTTAAAAGTACTTGAGGCTTTACAATGTGGGTTGCCGGCTTTTTACTGTAGCCTGTTGAGAATGAATTAGTTTTGCCTAGGTGATCAGATGCTGGGATACTGTGCTGGCCTTGACATTTACATTCCTTGAAGCGACTGTCTCATCTTACTTCCTAGCATGACCTGTCTTGCAGCGATATGTTTTAATGGTTGCCCATAGCAGCCCAGTTTCTCCTACCAGATGGCTTGAATTGAATTCTCTGTTTGCAAGTGGGGTACACATACCGTGTGCCGTATTTGCTGTGTGAGATGAAAGGCTTGCAAACTTACAGGTTGTCCAATGTGGGTATTCAGCTTCAGGTTTTTTCCCTCAGAAAAATTCCTTTGTGAAAAGAACCTGAGTAGAAATGTAAAATTTCCAGAAATTTTGAAACCATGGGGGGGGGGGAATTTGGAGGGTTTTGTTTCGTTTTTTGGAGGGGGGAATTGGGGGGGGGGAATAAGCAGTGTTTGGGTTTTTAGTATCCTTTACACTTTGAAAGTCATTTGGGTACTTTAGGAACATAAAATATATCATGTTCAACTTTGCCATTACATTATCATGTTTGGTATATTAGAAATGCCATTTATTCAGTCTATAATTTTGTATTGAATTTCCTTTAAAAAAAACCCACAAAGTTATGCTGCGCTATAAGGAACATGGCATCTCTCATTTTACCAGTTGGTGAGGAGTAGGCAACCCCTCCCCCCAATAAAAACAGGATAAACCATCAACATTAGAGTAAAGAAAGAAAATTACTATGGTTTGTATTCAACTAAGTCCTACTCAAGAGCATACCCATTGAAATGAATGAGCCTAAGTCAGCCATGCTTCTTTCAGTCCCCCACATCACTCATTTCCATTGAAAGAAATGTGAAGGCGGATGGGGGGGAGGAACCAAGACTCAATGAATATTACATGAAATTTAATCAGTCTCATTTTCTGAGCTATTATTATCAGCTTCTGCTTTTTCATATTTGTCATCATATCCATCAAGCACTTCTAAAACTTGAAGTAATGCTTGGATAGGAACAAGTTTCTTTATCCTTTCACACGTCATAGCCCAACATTTTTCAATTTGGGTAGGGGGAATAAAAAAAAGAAGGCTTTCCAGGAAAATGAAAGCAAAACACTCCCCCACCCCAATTTTTTCCAGAGTTCTTATGTGCCTTCATATATTTAAAACCAAATAGTTTTAAGTGTGGGAAACTTCTACTGATAGTCTCACATTTCAGTGGTAACCTCATAGTTTGGTCTGTGCTTGTTTTATTTCCAAGTGAGCAGCTCAGTTCGTAGAGGGGAGTATGGAAGGATATTATGGAGGGTGCAGGGGGGAAAGCAGCTGCCCGACTTTTCTAGAGCTCCACATTAAGGTAAAGGTAAAGGGACCCCTGACCATTAGGTCCAGTCGTGGCCGACTCTGGGGTTGCAGCGCGCATCTCGCTCTAAAGGCTGAGGGAGCCGGCGCACAGCTTCCGGGTCATGTGGCCAGCATGACTAAGCCGCTTCTGGCGAACCGGAGCAGCGCATGGAAACGCTGTTTACCTTCCTGCCAGAGTGGTACCTATTTATCTACTTGGACTTTGACGTGCTTTCGAACTTCTAGATGGGCAGGAGCTGGGACTGAACAATGGGAGCTCACCCATCATTGAGATTTGAACCGCCGACCTTCTGATCGGCAAGCCCTAGGCTCTGTGGTTTAGACCACTGTACCACCCTTTACCCCAGAGCTCCATATATCTGGCTGCTAATATGTGTATGGCGCTGCTGATAACATGGAGAGATCCTGGCTGGTTGAATACTATCCTTTCCCATTAGGTAGAGGAAGGGCAGGCAGTTTGGTGGTCATGCTGAATAGCATACCAAGCTGCTCCTCATTCAGAGGCACTGTGCCCCACAAACCCTCCTCTAGTTCTCTGTTACTCGGAAGAAGCCAAGCAGTTTGTAAAGGGAAGAGAAGGAAACAAAACAAAAAGCAGTTGTGAAGGTTGGTACACAAATGCCACCTGCCCACACACCCACTAGCGACCCTGTTCTCACTTCACAGTAAGTCTGAAACTGCGTCTTGCTGTGAATTGCGCTCGTCTGTCTCCTCCCTTTGCCAAGCTCGGGCAAAACAAATCACATTATGTGCAAACCAGTGCTCTTGCAACAAACTGGTTTGTTCTTGGCTTCTCCTCATGGTTTGTTTGGACAGGAACAAACCACAAAGTCAGGGCTGTGTTTGGTGTGCACGGTAAGCTACAGTTGTTTCCGACCAAAGCAACTTACAAATAAATTATTATATATTTATTTACACCACCCCCTTTCCCCTGACAGGGATGCAAGGTTGCTTACAGATAAAAATAAGAACAGCTAAAGGCATGCGAGGAGGGAATAATTAAAAAAAAATTAAATGTTGATAGAATTAAAACTAAGACTTACATTTGCCAGGTTTGCATAGCGTAGTATCCTACTTAATCCTAAAAAGAGGGACAACTTTTCCTGGTCTTGATTCTTCCTCTTCACTAGCAACCAGGCAAGAGGCTATTTACAAACCTCTGTTAAAATAGATGACGGCTTTGGTCTAAAGATTCCTGTCAACACGCCCTAGTGGTTGCCATTTAGCGGTTATTCTGTTTTATTCTCCAAGTGGTTTTCAGTGCAGCCTATCCCACTGCGGAGGGTCCCCAGACACTTTGGGGCTAAACTCAGAGGCCTCAGTACATATTGCAAAGTTCTCTTTACAGCCCTTAGTATTATTATAGAGAACTGAGTTGAGTTAAACAAAAAAGAGTTAAACAAAAAACAAAAGCCCTTAGTATTATTATAGAGAACTGAGTTGAGTTAAACAAAAAGGTCACAACACTGAGTTCTCCTCAGTGCCTTCCCCTTCCCTAAGCTAAAATTGCACTTGGCGGATTGTAGTTCCAACACCTTTTAAAGCTTGCCTACTAATTTCACACACTTTTAGATCTGCTGGTAGCAGCCGCCCTCCCTGGCCATGCTAGGAATTGACTGTGGGAAGCTTCCATCGCAGGACCTGTGCAGCTGTACCACTGAGTTATGACCCTTTTACAGAGGGATCAGTGGTGACTTGCCAGTCCCTGGCCCCCAGGATCAGGCCGTAGTGCAAGTACATAAACTATTGTGCTGCATGGCAGCAACTGGTGGTGATAGCTTTCCACAATTTTACCTTACAGAGAGAAGCAGCCTTTTGTAAGTTTGTAAGAAAACTTAAGTTCTGTTTTAAGTGATTAAGGTTACATTAAGGTTTTGTTTTAATCCAGTTTAACGAGGGAAAGCAGTGCTTGTTACAGAAAAACAGCAAAAAAACTTGTTTTTTTTAAAAAAATAGATAAGTTTTTTTTTTAAAAAAATTGCTCTAAATAGGGTTTTATTTAAATAAGCCATATTTGCAGTAGAACCATTGAAATCAATGGACAAATTAGTAATTCCGTTGATTTTGGTGGGCCTGCACAGAGTATGACCCCAGTCATACACAACCCGTATGTTCTCGTTTCCTGTGTTCTTATGCAAATCCATGTAAAGAGAAGCCATAGCTCAGTAGGTAGAGCACATGTTTTGCATGCACAAAGCTGCAGGTTCAATCCCCAGCATCTCCACCGTCAAAGGGTTTCTCTCCGCCTGGTACCCACAGAGAGCTAAGACCACTTGAAGTTGAGCAGTCCTCCACAAGCTTGGGTCACTAGAAGTTGTTGGAGCTACAACCCCACCATCCGTGACCATTGGGCATGCTAGCTGAGGTTGATGGGGGTTGTTGTCCGAATACCCAGTGATCCACAGTTGGGAAAGGCTTGAGCTAGATAAACCAAGAGGCTGGCTCCGTATAAGGCAGCTTCATAGGTCATTTGTTTCAGGTACAGTTTCTGGTGTCTGCATAGCCGGGCTTCATCAATGTGTTCTCTGGATCTTTCTCTTACTGCATGTAAAATGTTGATCCCAACGATTTAAAAACGCTTCTCACTGTTGCTGTGCTAGGAAATTCTGTGTCTAGAATAAAAGCTGCCGGACTATAAAATTCTATATCTGTAATAACTGTTATTTACACAATTAGTCAATAAAGAGGTGTAATTTCCTCTCCCCGAGATGGCAGTTGCCTCTGTGGACATCTCTTTCTGGCTGTGCACAGCCATGCTGTGAAAACCGTTTTAAGATTCGCAGGAAAGGATAGCTAATCCAATTAAACTGCTGGAGGGTTTTAGGTAGATGGCTGAAATGTTTAAACTGGGACTATGGGATAAGATGGGCATTACGATTTCCTCCTGCTCCCGGAATATATTGCGGTTCAAAAAAGAAGCATAGGAGCAAAGAGTGTATTTGTGTAAATATGTGTGCTACCATAGTGCCATTTTTGTTCTCACCTGGTGGATTTATGTGCCTTCAAAAACTTACCTTGCACTAAAGACTTATTGATTGCATAACACATTCAGAAAATTAGGGGAGTGCAGACTCTGTACAAAGGGGGCTGTGCCCTATGCCACATTGTGTTGTGATCAAGAACTTGATTGTAGTTTAGTTGACAGAACTGGGAAGGTGGTGTAAATATTTTGAGTCATGCATGGGAAGACCTTTAATCAGGTTTCGCCTTTCTTAGAAAGGGATGAAGTCGCTAAAGGAAGATGAGTGTCATTCATAAATTAGGAGGTTTGAGTGGTGGCTAAACATGAGAGGAGCCCTGCTGGGTCAGATCAAAGGCTTATCTGGTCCAGCATGCAATCAGATGCCTATGAGAAGCCTCCCACAAGCAGGTCACGGGCACAATAACACACTCCCACTCACATCCCCCTACAACTGGTGCTCAGAGACACATTGATCATATGTAGCTCTCATTACTAGTAGCCATCAACAGCTCTGTCCTCTGTTGGTAGTTAATGGTACTCAGGACTGTATGCAGTCAATTGGTCTATAGGTGCCAATTGGTCCAGTGGCCATTGAAGCCCTCCCCTCAACTGCCTGTCTTTCATCTGGCTGGCACAAACAATCCATGTATCGCCTGTTACTTCTAAGTTGGATCAGAAGCAATTGCTTGAAAGTCACTTGTAGTTCTTTCACTTTCCCTCAGTCTGGCAAGAAGATTGTTGCAGACATCAGGGTGACTGCCCTCCTCCAGATCCATTGAGTGTCATGGAGCTGGCAGTAATATCCAATAACAGGTGAAAGACCACTGGCAAAATGGAGACTCCTTGCATCAGTCTCCCCAATCCTTGCATTGAGACTTGCTAGCTGGTCAGTTTAGTGGCTGACTGCACAGATTTGTGCCATGTTGGAGAAGTGGCATGGATCTCTCATGGTATTTTTAATTGTGATATATTTAGGCTACTCCTGCTTTAAAGGTGTGAGCTGGTATTTAGACCTAAGTAAGGTGGATGGATTTACTTTCAGAGTCTTCCATAATGCAGGTTTGTCCAGCTCATTGAGAACTAGATTTGAGATGCAAAAAGTGCTACAACTCCCCAGGAGAAGAGACCCTCTCCAGAAAGCTCCGTTCCAGTTTCTGACTTCAGGGATTCTGCACTGATGTTTTTAACATATCAAAAGGCGGGGCCACCACAACTCAGGGAGCCCTGGAAAGGTGGCTGTGCCTGTAATAATCAGGTCATTTAAAGATCTTGTCATATTTTATTAGCTGTCCTTGTTTTTACAGCTGTGGCACTTGCTTGTTAATACTCCCATCTCTGAGGAGGGAGGACTGCTTCCCAGCCTTGTTTTACAGCTTGCAGAGTGGGAGGCAGAGGGCAGCAGTTTCCCACAGCAAAAAGACTCAGCCGTACTTTGCTTCTTTAGATCGAAATCAGCTGTGGCATTGATTCTTCTAATTTGCTGGGATTTCCAAGGCTGCGTACGTAGGGGCCGCCACTCATCGCAGCATCCATTTCTGTGAACTTCCTCACTTATCGGAGGCCGACGGAAGTTGCTCCGCTGACTATTCTGAAAGGTTCAGGGCAGCCTGCTCAAGCAGGCTTATCTTCATGTTCGGAATTCTCTTCTTGCAGCGTTGGTCAGGTCATGAGCTGGGGAATCAGAGACTCATAGAATTGTAGAGTTGGAAGGGATCCCAGGGGCCATCTAGTCCAATCCCCTGCAATGCAAGAATATTTTGCCCAACGTGGGGCTTGAACCCACAACCCTGAGATTAAGAATCTCATGCTCTACCAACTGAGCTAGGTGTTTAATCTTGCCATTCAAAAATGTCTTCGCGCCGAGGCGTGTTTGGCTGTGACAGCTAGGATCCCCAGTCCCACATAGGAAGCAGCCTTTTACATTATTTTGGAACAGTTACGATACAATAATCTTTATTGTCATTGTCCCATGCAGAACAACGAAATTGAAAAAATCTACACCAGACATTCAAAAACCAACAAGCCTGCTATCCCAGCCTGGTTAACCCCCTAAAAACTCTGATACCCCATAATTAAATACAATATACATCCAATATGCATCTTACACTGCGTTTAAAACCAAAATCGCATTTGGATAAAAACTGTTTCTCAGGCAGCTAGTCCTAGTCTTTATAACCCTGTACCTTCTTCCAGAAGGCAGAAGCTGAAAGAGATCATTTCTGGGGTGCATACTATCCTGCACTATCTCTACAGCTTTTTTATGACACCTGGAAGCATAGATTTGGCCCAAGGTGGGAAGAGCACACCCAGTTATTCTCTCCGCAGTCTTTACAACCCTGGACAGCACTGTTTTTTTCCTGACTCTGCAGCTTCCAAGCCACACACACAGACCATAAGTAAATACACTCTCAGTCATTCTCTGTTCTAACTTTTCCTAAGAAACTGAAGCCCCTTTTGCATGCATTCTGCCAGGAGGAACTGCGGGTGTTTTGGTATTGCTTTTATAGTTGACTTGGTAGGTAGACCAGAAATATGGCAGCAGCCCTCATGCCGCTGATGTGGCAGCTGCACGCCCAAGAGGTTTGGATTTTCTGCACGTGTGGCAAGCAGAAGAGGTCTTCTCATGTGAACTGTTACTGAATCATAGGGATCTTCCACATTTTCTTCTGGTTGCAGGAGATTTCTTGGGAGTGGGATGAGAGCTTTCCACCTTTCATCTTCTGTTATTTTCATTCAAAATCTAATAATATGGCGCAGATAGCCCCTCTGGGACACCTGAAGCAGCAGTAACTATGTAGGGACTAGGGAGAAGAGCATCTGATAGCATGGGGAAGTACAGGAATCTTTTTCGTGGAAGACCCATTTTGCCTTCTATCTCTCAGTCAAAATTGGTTTGCACGTTTACTCCCCCTCCCCCACTGATAATTAGAGCATACAAGCTAAAATCTTGCCATTGAAAGAGAAAGAAGGTGCAAGGAAAATGAGACTTTGGTTCTTGAGGTTGAAAACATGTTCTGACAAATTTGGCACCGGGCAGTCAAGTATTTTGAACACTGAAAATGTTGCGTAAATACTGTGGTGGAGGAGGTGAGCTGGGCAGAAGCAAAAGGTATTTTTTAATGGAGCCAGGATGTCATTCTTCCTGCTGTTATTCTGAGCGTGACACTTGGCTTCCGATGGTAATATTTGTGCTTAGTCATTGTTAAGGAGGGCTTTACAGTCGTGCTCTCAGGAACCATCCCAATAATTCCCTCTTCTTCCGACAAGCAGTGCCTCACTCTATATTTTGCTTTCCCTCCCTCCTCATCTCCTTGTAGACAGCTGCAAGTCTCTGGACCAGCTGAGCCTCACAATCCCTGTGGCAGGGCACCCTGTTTCACCTGCCCACCCACTCTCAGGATGTCCGGTACCAAGTGTGCCACCAGCTGCAGAACCTGTTCCTCACTTGCAGACGCCCAACTCGGAGCCCCAGACTATGGCCCGTGAGTGCCCACAGAGCTCCAAGCCTCCCAGTGGTTCCAAATCAGGCCTCCGCAACACCGCCAGCTGTTTACATGTGTCCGACAGCAAAACCGTTGGGGGTCACTCTCATCCAAAGCAGCAACGGATCAACCGGAGAAGAGCCACCAATGGCTGGATACCCATTGGAGCAGCCTCCGAGAAGGCTGTCTATGTTGTGGTAAGCGGCCTGCCAAAACTGCAGGGGTTTTTTTCTCCAATAATGAGGTTTGTTTATGATGGGGCTTGCTTGCTGGCACCTTGAATATACAGCTCTAGGCGCCAAGCAAAAACGTTCCTCTTTAACCAGGCCTTTGGCTGATTGGCATCCAATGCCCTTTTAAAATGTGTTGGGTTGTTTTTGATTTTATTATGTATTTTGGGTTTTTGTATTGTGGTTTTATGTTGTAACCACCTTGAGACCTGTGGGTATAGGGTATAGGGTAGTACAGTCGTACCTTGGAAGTCAAACAGAATCCGTTCCGGAAGTCCGTTCAACTTCCAAAACGTTTGGAAACCAAAACGGGGCTCCTGCAGCCAATTGGAAGCCGCGGAAGCCTCGTCAGATGTTCAGCTTCCAAAAATAGTTCATAAACCGGAACAGTCACTTCCAGGTTTGCGGCGTACAGGAGCAAAAATGTTCGAGAACTAAGCTGTTCGAAAACCAAGGTATGACTGTATACAATTTTAATTGATGATGATGATGATGATGATGATAATTGACTTTATGTGCCCTGCCCCACCCTGCTCCTGCTTCTGTGTTGGAAAAAGGTACCAGTGGAGCCTTGTTAGGCGCCAACATCTTTCATCATAGAGCATCCTTGTATTAAGTGGGACTGCCCTGTGTTGTGTTTTACTGCAAAGAAGTTTAAACAGATTCTTCTCCCAGGGATGTTAAGCCTGCGGGCAGAGGGCTGAAGTACCCCACTTTTTGCAGAGCTGCTTTCCTTAAAACCGGTGTGAACAAACTGAAGTTGCTTGAAGATTTCTTTTCCCTTTCTTTTCTGGGTTTCATAATCATTGCCTTTCATCTGAGCAGCATGTTTTGCTTCTGAAATTAACCTGCTGGGAGGAGAGAGATGCATCCTGCTGTTTTGTATGCTGCAGCTTCTCCATGGGTTCCTCTGGCAGCGCGGACACACCCTTTCTGGCAGAAAGATTTCTGCTTGGTGTAGGTGGATTCAAGGAAGCTGGCGTCTGTTTCTCAGCATTGTTTCCCTGCCTCACTTCTTTCCTCGGCACTCTCTCTTGTCGATATTTGTAGAACGAACCAGAGCCAGCTGTTCGCAAGAGCTACCAGGCCGTGGAGAGAGATGGAGAAATCATCCGGGTCCGAGACACAGTCCTCCTGAAATCTGGACCACGAAAGAAATCTATGCCTTATGTGGCAAAGATATCGGCCCTATGGGAAGACCCCAAAACAGGTATTGGATGGGTAAATGACTGCCATCTCCTTTGTAGGCAGTCAGGGAGAAATGGAATGGGAGGTAGCAAGTGATGGATGGCTTGTAAATGCACGCATGCACACACCCACCCAGCTAATACTGAATTTCTTTATCAAAGAACTAAAGAGTTAGAAGAGAATTGGAGGGTCATCCTGTCCACCTTGCCTCCACACCTCTGCCAAAGCCTCTGTATTTTATTAATGATTCCATCCAAATTAGAAGGAAGCAGAAGGCCCATTATGTCAAAGTTCCCCACGGGGCAACAAGTAGGCTTAGCAGAACACGTTAAGGAAGTGAATTGTGAGCCCACCATCTCAACAGAGCCGAACCACAGCAGCCACGATAATATCAAAGCAGCGCTCAACCCAGTGGAACAGGAGATCTCAAAATAAAGCAGCGTCACAAGGACAGCAGCCCAGTTAAAATCCTAAGAAAAGTGAAAAATTGGTGGTCAACAAATGAGTTTTCCATGTTCCCTTAAGGGCCTGTAATGATGGAGCCAGTCGAATCCCAATTGGAACAGTTTCACAAATGTAGGGTCACTGCCGAAAAAGTTTTTTCCCTTCTGTCCGCCAGCCTGATGGCTCACACACGGCAAGCCTCTGAAACGGCTCTCAGCACACAGGCAGGCTGATGAGACTGAAGGCAGTCCTTCAGTAACCTGTTCAGGGCTTTAACGGCCAACAACAGACATTTAAATTTGGCTTAGAAATATAGTAGCACTGGCAGTGTAACTGGAGCAATAGAGGTGGTGCCAGTTCCTGGGCATCTGTGTTTTGAAACAGTTGGAAGTTTCTAAACTGTCTTTAAAGACAGACCACAAAGGCACCGTATGGCAGTGATGCTCTGGAAACCTTACATCAGGTGTGGGGAACCTTTGGGTCTCCAGATCATGCCAAACTATAACTCTCCTCATCCCTTGTACTGAATGGGAGGCCACTTCAGAGGCTTCTGCAATTAGCACGGAAAGAGCCTCTTATTTAGTGCTCGGGGAGTTCTTCAGCCTCCGTGGCCAGGTCTTCTGCAACTCCCATGCATCCTATGTGGGACACAAGTGCATCCATCCCATTTCAGAGAATTGCATCTGGCTGGTGGCCCTCTCTGTTGCAGAGACAGGCGAGAAAACCTATTTAATTATTTTGTACTAGGGGCTGCTGCCCCATTGCCAGTCTTCCCTTTGCACCCTCTTCCCCCATCCCTTCATAGCTTGCCCCCCAACCCCCATTCCTGCAGGTTTCCTTCTCTAGGCCAGGTCAGCCAAGAGTGTGTGAAGTGAAGCGAAAAACTTTATTCCCTTCATTTCCCTCCCCTTGCGAGCAACAACAACAACAAGGGGAAGTACAGGAATGCCGTTTCTCTTACTGCTCTTAAGAACTGCAAATTCTGGCTCTTGCCTCAAGCCACGTACTTGGGGAATGTGTGCCCTCCAAACAGTTGCACTGTCTCTCTGCTGATCGTAACATCTGAGCAACACCTGCTGCCACGTGATTCTTTTAACAGCCAGAATCTCAGAAGCCACTAATTAGACTAATGTTCTTTATAGTTCGCATTCTGGGAAATAGCGTCAAACTCTGGTTTCTGCCTGCTTTGTAATCCGTCTTCTAGCAGCTAGGATCATGCATGCCGTGCTGCAGGTGGGAACAAAAAGCAAAAGTCCTGTGGGGGAGCAAGGTGGTTTCTCCCTTTCCAGGCCAAGGGGTGGTTGGGTTTTGAGGTGAAGTTTCTTAATTTGCTGAAGATGACTCAAGACTTAAAAGTTAAATGGCATTAACTTTAGTGGGGAAACTTACATATAAATGGGAAGCAGTTGGGGGACGAGCAAATAAAGATTACTTTGTGGGAGGGTGGTGGGATTTTACCACCTTTCTTAATGATAAAACTAAGGATATATCTCTTCCTTCACAACATATGAGGGTTTGGACATCTTAAAATAAAGTGCTATTTGGTAGATTTGCTATATTTTGGTACGTGTTATGCTTCACCTTTCTTTGCCACACTTGCCTGTTGAGGACTAACAGGACATTCTTATGGCACTTTGAACCAAAGGGTCTGTTGGTTGGAGGAGGAAAGGAATTAGTTTCGTTTCAGTTAGTTATTTGAGGGTAGTATAATAGTGTGGTGCAACTGTATCAGCATCCGCTGCTTATGTATTTATTTATTCTTGAAAATTTAACAATTTTTCCCCCAAAAAATAAAAAGTTACATTCCAAACGCCAATAGTAAAAAGGGTACGAGGAGCATCCAAACCTTTTGGCTTCCTAAAGAAGAATGCTGTGCAATTGTCCCAGAGTGCCTACAGCTGAGGCTTTGTGTGGCTAAGAAAGCGGTTTGGAATTCTAGAGCTCTAATCCAGTTTTAGTTCAGCCTCTGGTTCCCAGATGATGTTGGACTATAGCTCCTATCTTGCCCTCCCAGCTTAGCTCAATGGTCAGGGATCATGGGAGCTGTAGTCCAATACATATGGGAAGTCAAGGTTGAAGAGCGTTGCTCAGATAAAGCTTCAACCCACAACCGTGTTGCCTTGCTTTGAAACGGCAGAACAACCATCCTGTTTGTAGAAGCTGTTTGTTGTCGCTCGTGAGACAATCTGAGCAGCCCGAAGGAAGTCTAAACAGGCTGACAGTGTAAAGACTGAACTGACTAGAACAAGTCATTCAATCCTGGGCAAATAATTAACTGCTTCCATGACTGTTAATTTTGTGGGTGAAGACACGCACAACTTTTTTAAAGTGGGGAGTGTCACATAACTTACTTAAATATTTCTTAACGAGCCTTCCTGAGACGATTCCAGAGTGGTGCAGAAATGTATGAGTATGCACATCTCTTATTTCTGCCATGAAGTCAGGCTCACCTTATAGCCGAGGGAATGCTGGGATCTCTCTTTTGCTATGTCTGTGCTCCTGCTGATGTGCGAGATTTCTTTGAAAACCTACCTTGTTTGCTTCCAGGGGAGCTGATGATGAGCCTCCTGTGGTACTACAGACCAGAGCACACTCAGGGAGGCCGCAATCCTAGCATGCATCAGGTGAGTTGAGTATGTCCGTGTGGTGGTTTGTATGATCAGGTGGGGATCATTGTGCCTTCATTTTCTTGCAGGGAGAAGGGAGAGTGATTAACAGGTGCTGCCTATTTCAAAACATATGGAATCTTCTATTCCTGGTTAGCCAGGCCATCTCTTTCTGTAACTATAACCAGTGTTGTTTGATAAGTAAATACCTGCTGCATCTCATAAATTGGCAAGTAATCTGAGTTCCGGTGTAAAATCAGCCCTCTACTGCCTCATTCAGAACATTCATGATTTTACAGTCAACTTGTAGTTGCTTTGGAAGTGTGCTGTTACCTCTGTGAAAGTCTTTCCCCTTTTGAACGCATGCAAGTTAAATGTGCATAAGTTGTGAGTTACCTGTACGGTTGTACCTTGGTTGCTGAATGCCTTGGAACTCGTACATTTCAGCTCCCGAGCAATTGAAAACCAGAAGTGAGTGAGCCGGTTTTCGAGCAATTTTTGGCAGCCAATCAGAAGCCACGCCTTGGTTTTCGAACAGTTCAGGAGTCAAACAGACTCCCAGAATGCATTCTGTTTGGAAACCTAGGTACAGCTGTATTTAAAGAGACCTCTTTAAATGCAAGGTTTAAAGATCTGCACCTGTTGTATTTCTCCCTTCACAGGCAATTCTTTTATTGTACACAGGTGTTTGTCTGTTATGGAAGGTTTGATCATCTTCCCCACAGTTTAATAGGTCAGTTGCACTTTTTTGAGCAGCAGCAAAAACAAAAATGCTCTCCTTGTTTCTTCAGCACCAAAAAACCGCAACACCCTAGAATTCCTTTTGTCAAACTAGTTCTAGCTATGTTGCCCTGCTGACAGGATGATTCAGCCACTCCTGATTGCTTCATATCTGTTCTAGAATGACACAGGGGGAAAGAGTATGCTATTGCTTGCCTTTCAAGTTAAAATAATACTTTAAAATTGTGTGGGAAAGAAAGGAGGAGTTTGTGAGGATAAGGGAGGCATCTGATTTGAAGAGTTGACAAGCAGGTTCCAGAAACAGAAAGAAGAAGAATCTTGTATATTGGTCCAACTTCTGCAGTGATTGGAAAGGCAGTGCAACCTTTTATAATGCACTTGAATGTCTCTGAACTGACAGAGTTCTGTCTTAATTAACAGTTCCATGTAAAATATAAACATTAACATCCAAGCCCCAAAGCTTGCAAAGTAGCAGTGCTGTTAAAATGGATTCCAGTTAACATTTTCTCAAAAGGGAAAAACAAAGCATAAGGGTCAAAAAGCACTCTATGGTATCAATTATAAAAACTATTTTGCAACATAGTGGTTTTCTTACTGGCTGCAAAATAACATGAAAAAACTACATTTACTCTAGGGAGTATAATTCTTCACAAGTTATTCTACCTATTTCTGGCAATATACCTCCACTGCCTTGGGTGGTATCTTGAGGAGAAGAAAAGGCTGAGTAAACCCCACATAAATCTGGGAGTGAAGTCTCCAGGAAGATTAGCGCTTTGTACTCCTCCTTCCGGCAATTCCTGCAGCCAAGCTGGTGCCAAATATACTTCTCTGCTTTCCTTTGGACTGTATTAGTGAGGCCAAGGGGGGTGGTCTTGCTGTCTGGGCAGCCCTGGACCTCCATAAACACTGCCCAGGTTTGTGCCCCAGGGAGGTCACTTTGGTGCTGCTAACACAGCTGTTTGACTTCACCCCCAGAGGTGCACTCCATTGTCTATCAAGACAATCAGATGCCGGCAACCTTCACGTGAATCATTTAAATGATAGAATTTTAGTAAGGCTTAGAAGCCTTGTGGATGTTGAGATTAAATTAAGGCTGTAATCCTGTGCACACTTACGAGAGATTAATTTTAATTGGGCTTGCTCCTTAGTACCCATACGTTAAGATTGGGCAGTTTAGCTCCCAGACAGCTAAAGGAGAATCTCAACAGCGAATGCCTTATATAATCTAAAACTACCTTCACTAAATTGGTGCTCTCCAGGTGGTGGCTTTGGGTTCCAAACATCTGCTGGACACCAGGCCGGCAAAGGCTGGTCTAAAAAGATGACAGCTCATAGGTTCAACTTGAAACAATACCTCATATGTGTCCCATGAGAAGTTGCCTCACGGTCTATGTCAGGGGTCTGCAACCCGCGGCTCCGGAGCCGCATGTGGCTCTTTTACACCTTTGCCGCGGCTCCGGGGCGGATACTAGCGAGGGGAGGAGGCGCATTGTGCGCCCTGACACTCCCCACTGTGGCGGGCGCTGTACTGGCTGTGACGTCGCATGGGGGCGCATGACTAACGCACGCACCGTCCCGACGTCACCTTCCCGCCTGCCTGCCCGCTACATTGTAAGGGGCATGTACGCTGGTCACTGCATTGAAAGGGGGCATGTATGCTGGTCACTGTTTTGAAGGGGAGTGAAGAACACACACACACACACACACACACACAAAGGTAACTTGTTAATTTAACGTTTATTTCTATGAGGAGGAGTAATTCTGAGGGGTCAAACAAAGAAATAATAAAAAAAGTGACAAAAAAGTTATTTTTATAATGACGAGTTTTGCGGCTCCCAGTTTTTTTTTCCTTCGGAAACGGGTCCAAGTGGCTCTTTTGGTCTTAAAGGTTGCAGACCCCTGGTCTATGTTCAAAGTGGCTGCCTGAGAAACATGCAGGCATGATGTCTTAGCAGGCCAGAGACAACTGCCTCCCCCCACCCAGGAAGTTTTGCTATGCATTGCGACAGTCCCAACTGTGTGCTCTCTTGCAGAATGAGATCTTTGCATCCCGACATCAGGATGAAAACAGTGTAGCCTGTATCGAGGAGAAGTGCTATGTCCTGACCTTTGCAGAATACTGCAGGTAGGTGGTGCTCTTACCTTGCTTTTGCTGTTGTCTCAGAGTTCCAGAAAGGCAGTTTCCACGGCATGGTGTGTGCTTTGCTTTGCTGCATTTTCTGATGGGTGTGTTCCTTCTCTCTCTGCCTTGGCATTAATCATGCTTGTCTGGGCATCTCAATCCATTTTCAGTTGGTTATTCTTGGTATGTCTAGGAGAAAAGAGTATTACTACTTTGGCATCTTTACTGTTTTAGTTTAAAAAACGAAACAAAAAACTTGTCCACTCACCACCCACCTGCCAACTCATTCCTCTCTCAGTAAAACTGGGGTTGGGGGGGGGAGAATTGTTAGAAGCTCATTTAAAAAATGGAAGAGTGCCGTTTTATAATCCACAGTCTTAATCAAAATACAACACCCCACTAACAATAAATACAGCTTAAGGCATAAGAATCTCTCTTCCCCCAGTAGAGAAATTTGAATCCTTTTTAGAAGGAACATTTAATGTTTGCTAAGTGTATCTAAGCGCCTGTGCATTATTAAAGGACGTTTGTCTGGACTATAGGGAGCAGTCTTCTGTATAATTTTGTAGTCGTGAGCTGTTGGTTTCCTAAAGTATTTCATTGTTATAAAATAGTTTTGAAGTCCAAGGCAATCCTCGCCTATCTAGTCCATGGGGCCATGTAAGATAAAGAAGTGGCCAGTCCTTATGATTAAGCTGTGCAGTAGGACGGAATTGAGAGCTCCATCCCACCTATAAACCAAACCGCCTATGTCTTCCCTAGCCCTTTTAAAAGAAGCTCCTGTTTAAATAATTTGACTTGTTTTTTTCATGTAACAAACAAGACTGCCTTGTGCATTTCCTTGTGAAAAGGGAGTATAGTGGACGCGTGGGTTGCGAACGTGATCCGTGTGGAAGGCACGTTCGCAACCCGCAGCGCCGCGTCTGCGCACACGCGGGTTGTGATTCGGCGCTTCTGCGCATGCGTGACCGCCGAAACCCGGAAGTAACCTGTTCCAGGACTTCCAGGTTTCGGCGCATCTGTAACCCAAAAAAACACAACGCGAAGCGTCTGTAACCTGAGGTATGACTGTACAACTGTGGTACCTTGGTAGTCGTATGGCTTGGCTCCCAAACAAATCAGCTACCGAATGCCACAAACCCAGAAGTGAGTGTTCCAGTTTGCAAACATTTTTCGGAAGCCAAACATCTGACGCGGCTTCCGCGGCTTCCAATGGAGTGCAGGAAGCTCCTGCAGCTTGCCTTGGAAGCTGAACCGTTTCGGGAGTTGAATGGATTCCCAGAATGGATTAAGTTCAAGAACCAAGGTACCACTGCATAATTTTTAAAAAACAGATTGGGTTAAAACTGGTTTGGTTGTTTGTTTATTCATTTTATTTATTCATATAAATTATTTCTATACCATGATTCATAAATAGTATCAGAGCAGCTTACAACAATATATACATAAAACCATGCCAAAAGCCACATATAAAAAAATCTTAATTGAGAAATAAGCTAACTATTGTGGAAAGATATATTCTTAATTGCCAGCATAACCCTAGTGGGGTTAAAATATTGAAACAGAAGGCGTCTGCTGAATCTGTTTGCAGAGTTTTCAACAAGACTCGGTCCATGACACCAACGACTCAGTTACTTCTTGTTGGTAAATGAGCCTAGCGAACTTGGGAAACAACCAGCAATGCTTCTGCTGATGATTTCAGTGATCGAGCTGGAAGAGAAGTGTTCAAGTGTCCCTAAGCTACCTAGGACCTCAGGTGTTCAGGGCCTTGTAAATTAATACCAGGACCTTGAACCTGGCTCAGTAGTAGATGGGCAGGTGCCCCTATGAGCAGTCTGGCTGCCACAGTCTGCTCCAGTTGGAGCTTCCAAGGGCAGCCAGTTGGAGCTTCCAGTTGCTCCAGTTGGAGCTTCCAAGGGCAGCCCCAAGGGCTGCCGTAATCCAGTCTATGCTTATACAAACTCAGCATGCAAATGATATGCATTCAACAGTGCAAGAGCAGAGTGAATCCGCCCCCCGCCCAGTCACCCTTGTCAACAGAACATGTGGGGAGTTTTTCTTTGGATTTCAACATGGCCGAGGTGGAGCAGAGGAGTCAGTAGGGCCACATTACTATACTTTTCTTCCATGTATTTTCTCTGAGGTCTTATCAGTGCATCATGGGCCTTCATGGCCCTCCTCTCATTTTTCTGGCAGATTCAAAATGGGAAGATCACTATAACCAACGCCAGAGTCTGGTTTTGCTTGCCCTTGCCCTTTAGAGACATTTATTCTGTTCTATATGAATTTAATAATGCTAAAAATGTAGTATTATTCTTTTCTTTACTTTGCAGATTTTGTGCCTTGGCGAAGCGTCGAGTGGAGGGGATCCCGGGCAAGAAAGCCGTGATGGTTCCTCCGTCGGAAGAGTATTCCACCCCTGCCCATCGCAAGGTGCCAGAGGACACTGACCCCGAGTTGGTTTTCCTCTGCCGCCATGTCTACGACTTCCGGCACGGGCGCATCTTGAAGAATCCGCAGTAGCCGAGCTCTGCAGCTCCGTGGGGTTGACAAGTGGTGGCGGCGGCTGGAGAGCCGAGGGCAGCCTGACCTCATTGCCGGCACGTGCTGTGGTGGAGCCCTGCCCTCGGGCACAGGAAGGGATGCCCAAGCACTCTATCCTCTGCGTTTGGGGAGCAGATTTCCTGCCGAGGCAGATGTTCAAAGCACAGCACTTCATATAAAGAGCATAAATGGAAATATATATCTATAGAGAAATGTGTGTGTGTGTATATAGATATAGGTACTTGCTTCTGTAAATCTATATCTATATATATATATGTACAATGAGCATCTTATAAGGGGGGAGGGAGGGAGGGGGGAGGGGAAAGGGCGGGGTGGTCCAGGGGATAAAAGCCAGTATAAACTGAATCCAGAGCCAGTCTTGGTGGGGATGGTTAGAGCATACAGAAGGGGAACGAGTGCAGAAGAGAGCTGAGCTGCCGTGGGCCCTTGATCTCGCGTCCTCGATATGAAGGCTGAGGGCAGAGATCCTTCTGACCAGCGTCATACTTGAGGTTGGAGAAGCACTCCTGTTTGGGAGACGTTTACGTGCTGCGTGTCCTTGCCACATGCTGAACATGTTTTGATTTGGTAAGGGGAGGAGGACCACACTTGCTTTCTGGGGTTGTCCAGTCCGTTGTTTGCTTTCCTGGCTGGATTTGAGCTTCACCTCCAAAGCAGGAAGTGGGAAAGATGCAATAGGATTACTTCAGACCTTTATGAAAAGCTGTGTAGATTTAATACACACACACACACGTATGAGAGAAAACAGGGTCCAACCTTACGGATCACTGCTTCAGAAGTGGGCAAGCACCTGAACAGCTCCCAGAGTTTAATTGACAGCTGCTACAAAACCGATACCTTCCCTCCAGATGTTTGGAGAGGCATCCCTTCTGCTGGTTGAAATAGTGGATATTCTTTCCCATCCCGATTCCATTTTTTTTGCTCTTATTTCCAGCCCTTGTAGAACCTGGATTTGCACACTCCAGCGTTCTCGGGAAGGGCTTAAAAGCCAGAGTTAGCAAGGACATTGTACCGCTTCAACTGCATTCTTTTCGAAACAGGCATCCTAACTTGACCAGCCTGGTCTGCTTTTGCCTGCCTACCTCTCTCCTCTCCCAAACACATCCCCACCCCCCGAAAAAATATCCTCTTGACACTGACATCTGAGCATGCCCACCAAGGCGAGACTCTTTGGCTCCCAAAAGGAACTGACCAATGAGAGGTTTGCATTTTGGAGAGAGAGAAAAAAAACTTGCTACCTGATTCCTACGGATACTTCTGCCTCTTGCCTTACATGTATAGGTGTTAGAAAGAAAGAAAAAACTACTTTAGTTTTGGCTTTAACACAAAGCTATTTCAGTTAATTCTAAAAGCAAACCAAAGGACAGCGTACGAAGAGCCCGCTGAACTGGTCACACAAAGCTGGGATTCCATTTGTAGATTGCACTAATTCTAAAGAATGAGAATTAACACTGGATCAGTCGATGTGCTTGCTGATGGCCAGTCTCGCTCACCCGAACAAGGGACCTGTGGGGGTTAATTTTTGGGTGTGTGTGTTGGGGGGGGGAGTGTTCTGAACTAGTGTTATACGATGATAGAAACGTTCCTACGGCTTTAATATTGTCGTCTTTTTTCAAGTAGAAGTAGTACTTGCCCGCAGGCTGGAATGGAGTCTTGCCACCTGGGCTCTCTCTGCCTGCCTGGCCCGGAGGAAGTAGCCCTGCCATGTTCAGTTCCTTGTGCCATGAGCACAAGTGGAGATCTGCAGATATTGCTCATCATACCAAAGATGGGAAAGTGATGGGGAGGAGAGAGAGAGAGAGGTTGAGAAGGTCAAAGCAAGAGATGGTTGGTTATACCTCAAGGTCACGAGGAGATGATTCCTACTGTGTTTTAGTAGGGAAAGGATTTGCTCCCTGCCGTTATGGGGGAAATTCCCACCCTAATTCTGAGCAAGAATCTGTGGCTGATCCAAGCTGGCTAGTGCCAAAGTAATGGCTTTATTTCCCCCTGTAACCATTGCTTGGGCATGTCGTGGGGCTCTTGGGAGTTGCCGGAGCTACAAAGCACACCTTGTTATAGCACAGGAATGGAACAGAAGTTTCCATGTGATATTTCCCTCAAGCAGGTGAGAGAGCCTGACTGTGAGGGAGGCTCAGATTGGATGGAAGGAAGGGTAGGGCTGGCATCACTCTTTTCAGTCTGGAGGTATGTTTGGGAGCAATACTGTGGGTTCCGTAGTTGCTGCCTGTTCTTCCATTTGCCTGGTTGAAGAGGGAATTGTAGGGGAAAGAGAATGACTGGAATAGGGAATGTTCCCAGAATGATATGGGTAAAGTGTGTGTGTGTTAGGAGTTGAGTAGTCTGATCTATGCAGAATCAGATTTGGGGTTCCTTTCTCCACCCCTGTAATTGGGGGGGGGGGAGAAACCACGTTGCTAGGTATCCTCTTTTTCCGGGGAGGGGGGAAATAGTAGTGTTGTTCATGGTATAGTGAAGGGAATCCTCACAGCTTTTGATTCGAGACTCATGTTCAGGGTGCTACTGCCCTGTAAAAAGAGCTTTTGGGAAAACTGAGAAACCAGACTCATTTCCTGAAAAAGCTGATGTCTGCTACTGCTTCCTCCTCCTCCTTCGTCCTGCCTCCTCTCCAGACAGGAACAAAGAAAATAAACTCACACAATTGTATAAAAGGAAAGAAATTGTATATCTGCCCAGGTTTGGGGGTGGGCTAGAAGCCCCCTATCTGGAGAGGAGAACCCCTAACCCTTCCGTGCTTCTGATATTGTCAGAATCTACTTCAGGCCAAGAAATATTGTTTAAAGACTTGTGTGGTTGTTTTATGCTGTTTTGCGGGCAGCATGTAAATGATTTGAGATGTCTTATCTGAAATGAAAATATTTCATGCTTTTTTAATCTATTAGATATGGAAATATTTTTGACACTGAAAATGCAGTCAGTAGAATTTAAATTGAAATGTAATACATGTAAAATATATTTTAGTTGATAATTTTGTAAAATGCACTTTTTTGTGTCTCTTCCCTTGTTTCCCAGATCTGTATTTCAGTGTTTACAGATGGAATGAGAGCATTCCCTATACCCTCCTTCTGTGAAAAAGATATATTAGAAGTAATTCTTAAAAATAAATTTGAGAAATTGTATTGATTTAGAAAACAAAGCTCAAATGTAGTTTTTTCTTGCCTGTGTTTAATCTGTTGATGGGGGTCTACTTGGTAACAGTAAAGGCCATGGAATGTATTTTCTTAGTCTCATGGTGGTTCACAAAGGTATGTCAAATTCCAGTATTTATTTAGAAAAAAAATATTTATAGACAGCTGTATCATAAAACTGTGTCACAGCAGTTTACAGCCGTATAAAAACCAAACCAAACAATAATTTCATAAAAAGTTAAAAACAAGTAAAAGCAAAAAGACATTAAAATCAAACATCAATAGACTATTGTAAAGTGGTGTTAATTTGTTTTCAGCAAACATTTAGAGTTTGGCACAGTAATGAGGCTATTATCGGATTGTAATTGGAGACTAAAAAAAATTATTATTAAAAAAAAAAGAATTTACAGGAAACCTCCCCCAAAAAAGTTTGGCACAGAAGACTCCTGCTGAATACAAGGTACATTCATTCCTAAACTCATAAAATGCAGCATCTCATAAATATTAGAATGTAAGAAGAATCCTCTTGGATTAGACCAAACTCCTGCCCAGTCCAGCACCTTGTAACCTGCAATGGGTAACCAGATGCCTACAGAAGGCCCACAATCTGGGAGTGAGGACAATGGTCTTCTCCTACTGTTGCTACTCGACAACTGGTATTCAGAGACAGTGCCTCTGTTCCTAGAGACAACAAACCACTTTCCCTAAGATTGGAGATTGCATGGGCCCAGGCAACTTTCCCTAGAGAGGGCTTTCCATAAGGAGAATGCCACATCAAAAAAAGGCCCCAATCCTCATGATGCCTCACCTCACTTTCTGTTTCGAAGTCACTTTCAGGCTGGCCATCTGTGATAACCTGCACACACAGGGAGAGTTTGTTGGGATCAGAGTGTCTTTCACTGGCACTTAAGAAGTAGATATGGTGCTCTATATCAGTAAAGTAGTATATCCACCTGAGGACATCCACTTGTGGCATCTACATGGGAAGAGGGCATACCGGAAAACAGGAGGAATGGCCCACCGCCATGGATTCTTCCTTTCCAAATGACAATGTGTGGATGTTGCATTTGTACTTGTAGTGCTGGAAAACATTCCTGGCCTTGGAGGGCACCTCACAAGTATCGTTCTTGCCGGATGGGGCCTGGGGAGGGGATAGCTAAAGGGAAGCAAGCGAACTACTCTTGCAACCTGAAAATAGGAACAGAAATTGCGCTGGGAGCATGTTAGGTGCACTGTGGAAGCCTATTCTTCCTGTAGGATCCTTTTAAGATGCAAAGAGACTGACCCCTTCAGATCAAGTCCACCCACAATTATCTTTTCATAATTAAATGAGTACTAGAGCTGGGGGGCTGTGGAGTTGGAAGAACTCCTCTCCCTCCTTCCCAACTTAATTTCCATCCCCTCCCTTTGAAATGTCCACAAGTTCTAGCTTGTTGCAGAAAATCCCCACCTCATTCGAAATGCTTAAGGCGCACAGAGAACAACAGCAACTCAACCACATTCCAGCCAGGTCAATAAATTACATTGAAATATGTGGTGTTAGACTGTGATGTCGACCTGGGATTTAGCTCAGTTTGTACCCTGTTGTGGGAAGGCCTCTGCCTGTGAGGGGCTGTAAAAAAGGAAGAGTCCTAGCTTCTTTCCCAGAGCAAACCAGAGATGACTCAGCATTAAAAGTGCTTCACTCCTGCTGCTCATTGTGGGTATTTTTCTTTTCTTCTTTGACTCGGATGGCCCTTATTCTGGAGACCCCCACTCAGTGGTGTTTCCGTTCACTGAAGGGGGAGAGCCTTCCTTTTGTCTCACAGAGTTAACAGTGACAGAGTGTACAAGTGCAAAGTGTTGCCAGAAATATTCATGTGTGGAACTGAACTTGGAGCCGCTGCTTCCCTGTGCAGCTGTTGGACACAAATGCAAGCAGAGGGAAGGTACCGGTAGTTATTTTGATTTTCCTCACCTGGTGAGTTTAGAAGTTAGGGACCCTTCAGAGATAATGCAGTTAAGTGGTAAGTAAGTGCCATCTGCTGGCAGACAGGCATGCTTCCCAAGTTGCCAAACCGTGTATCGAAGGAGACAATGGATTGGTCAAGCTGCTCTTAATGTTTCCATCTAAGACAAACTAATTCTCCAAGTCCTTGGTCTTCACTTAGATTTGTGACAGTCCAATGCAAGAAAATATTTGGAAGTGGTCTCTGAATGATGGATGCTGCAGTTGGCTGATAGGCAGAGGAAACAATCCTTCCAGCTCTACACTTCTATGATTCTATGACCAGCTGGTTAGATGTGTCAAATTCAGTATTCACCAAACTCAACACAGCCTGTCAGTCATGAATGATGGCCACCGAGGACAAAATAATCCTCCCACCTTTGTACTTTGCCTGGGACTGTAAAAATAGCATAGTTGTCAAGCACCTGAATGGCCTGATCTACAACTGTATAGCATATACCATGGGCCCCAGTCTTTTCATATTACCTGGCCATTTAGGAAAGGTCAGGTACCACTGATTCTCCCACGCTGCCAGCCTTAGGAGATGGCGTCCTGCTAATTTCTGTGAGCGACTACACAAAGTACTGAAAGCAGGATTAGGAGTGGGCCTTTCCTTATCTGCAGAGCTGTAACGAGGGCAAAATGCATGAAATATTTGCTTACATTTTCCTGGCAGTTTTAATATGGCTAATTGTGAGTGACAGTAATTGCACCCGAAATTACCCCAATTGAGTGTTGGAAGTAATTGTGGCTGTCATATTAAAATGATAGAATACCAATCCAATTAAATGGATTTTCCTATTGCTTTGGGTCCATTAAAATGATTGTACTGATAAATGAGACATGGACAAAGTGGTTGTATGCTACTGTAAATCTGGTTTAATTAAGAAACATAGAAAGAAGCCCCGAAAGAGTCAAGGATGCGTGGTTTAATCCATGTGGGAATATGTTGTTCATCATTACATATGTTCACATGTCTAATATGGGGGGGGGTTACATTTGATATTTTAATATTGTTTTTGATACCATTTAAGATTCAGTATTGCCTAGAGTGGCTATTTACATATTGCCTAAAATGAAGAAACACAAAAGGAAAACAAAAGAGAAAGTCATTTTACATAAAATCTGCATGTGCTAATTTATATAGAAAGATGCAAAATTAGAAATAATGACACAATAGAAACACACATTCAGAAATAGAAACACACAACAGCTTGCTATTGTGGGGAAGACTTGTGACCAGGTGACCTGGTCAGTCTGAGTGTGGCTGGGCAATGCCAAGGTCCCTTCTGATCTCTGTTCTTAGGGTTCTTTATGTGGGATAACCAGCCTCATATAACCAGCTTGCTTAAGTCTAATTAATGCATGAGGGGGTTAATACCATAGAGTAAGCTGTCCTGCCAGGCTTAGCTATGTCACTTCCCTTGGAAGGAAATAAGTAATCAAGCCTATTGCCTGCCCACCCCCCAGTCTACCTGAGAAACTCAGCGTGTGAAGAGGTTTGTGCTGGTTGCTCCAGCTCAACCGCATGGCTCTCACAAGCCACTCTTGATTTCCTATACCAATAATCTAGGAACTTTTGCCACTTAGTAACTAAACTATGCATTACTGACTGATGAATGGAAAAGCACATGAACCAGACCTTTGAAGAATTTTTAAGTAAATCAATTTCTAACTTATCAAAAGTGTAGTCTTTTCCTATGCAGGGGTAGGAAGGAAACTTGGAAGGGCATATTTTAAAGGTCAAACAGCCTATATTTCCAAGCTTTGCTTTGCTGCATATTTTGTGGCTTAAAATCTCTGCTGAGGTTCTTTCACCAAAGAGTACTTGCCCCAAACCTGGATCTTGGCACCTAGTGAATTCTCGTCCTATATTTTTCTTTTGCACCAACACTTTAAACCACTGGCTACCCTGGTTCTCCACAGTTTTGTGTTCCGTTTTGTTTTGTTTTTACTGTGCTTATTTTTTTAGCCACACTGGAGGTCCCTTCTGGTTCTGAACGAGCATACATAATGTTATTTCTAAGAGATCTCTGTCAGTCAGTCTTCGTGCAGCCACAAAAGAGGCAAACACACTTTTGCTTTTAAAGCACCTGAAAGGATAACATTTTGCCACTGCAATTGGTTTCCAGTGGCTGTTTTCAGCCATTTCTATAACAAACACCATGTTTATGAATCAATAATTATGCAAGTGAACACTTCAAAGCCTTTTGTACAAATCCAGGCACTTGACTTCAGGGCAAACATAATAGTACTTGCAATCCTTTTCATTTTGTTCGTTTCACATGAAATTGCAGCACCATCACCATGAAAAGAGCAAATCTTCTGCTTGGAATAAACATCCTCATATAATAATGGAAAAAACACACGCTTCACAGTGACTAGGCCAAACATTTCAAAAGGCCTTGCAAGAAGCAAGCAGGATTCTGGCATTTTGCCCCGGTGTGTGAACAACACCCAAATGGCATGATAAAACATTTCCAAAACAGAAATCTCCAAATAAGTTGCCTCAAGCATCTGAGGTCAAAGAGATAGATCCTTCCTTTGCTGTGAGGAATCCTGAAGATCCCAATTCATACGAGGAGACTAGGATCCCCTACCCCTCACGCTAAAATAGAACTAGCATTAACTATAAAATGTTTTGAACTGTATTAAGATCATTTTATGTTGCCATGGCTCTGGATTCTGGAAGTCTTTGATCCCATGGCAGGATGTAATCTTAAATAATCCAGACTGGAAGTAAATTTTACCATACAGGACATGGGTCTTCCTAATAAGTCGATGTGTTTAGGATTGTAGTGCCAATCCAGTTCAGCCAACTGGTGGCTTAGAATTTAAGAGGCTGCCATGAGGCAAAGTAAGGTAGAAGGCAGACAAATCTGAACCAACATATCTCCCATTCATCGTGTCAAGAAAAGCTGTTGTTGTTTCAAGTATGTTTAATTGGAAAAGATTGCAAAGTAGTTTACAAGGACAAGCAGACCACAGCACCAGATAACAGAGGGTGAGATCCAATTACAT